AATAAGACATCAGTGTAAAAGAATAACAGTACAAAACACAACAAAGCAAAAACAGACAATTATAAACCAGAGACATCCTGCAGGGGAGGAGGAGGGAGAGGGATCAGAGGGAAGAGGGAGGAGCACAGGGGACTGAGGTGATGGTGCACGGGTGCATTGGTGAAGGAAACTCTATGGAGACTACACCTGAGGGGGTGGGAGGAAGCAAATATTGTTTAAAAATGAACAATGGGGCCTCCCCGGTGGTGGCGCAGCGGTTGAGCGCTGGGTTGCGAAGCTGCCCGCGGCCTCTGCAGCGCCGGTTCAATCCCTGGCTGCTCCCCGGCCACCAGAGGAGGGTCCCACATGGCGCAGACCTCTCCTGCCGCCCGCTGCTCCCCTCAGCAGTGTACTTCGGTCCTTCTGCCTGTTCTGCTCCCCGCTCTGGCTCTGGTGAATTCTCTCACCCTCCCGCGCTTCTGACTGTACCCAGTGCATGTATAAACAAGCAAACAAACAAACAAACAAATAAATAAATAAACATGCCTCTAAAAAAAAAAAAATAAAAATGAACAATGATGTAAAAAAATAAAAATAATTTTTAAAAAAGAAATGAAAAAGTGCTGAAAATTAAACAGACATGGGGAAAAAGGGTAAAAAGGAAAGCTGAAATAGAAAATGAAAAAGACCCAACATTCATATAATTTGAGTTCCTAAAGACATAAAGTAAAACAACAGAACTAGTGTTTAAAAGCACAATTCAAGAAAACGTAACTGAAATTAGAGACCTGAATCTGTATGTTGAGCCAGGTCTTAATGCACCAGGTCTTATAAACATTGGGCAGTTACCTCCTCTTGGAAAAGTTGACCAAGAGGAGGTAACTGCCCAATGCTTATAAAACTATTTCACTTTTAAAAGAAAAGCCCACTGTGCCTCTAGGGAAAGAACCAAGTCACTTACAACAGAAAAAAATCAAACTGGCACCAGTCTTCTCAACGATATACAAAAGTAAGGAAACTGTGGAACATTATTTCCATGAAAGCCCAGAAAAATTGTGAGCAAAAGATTTTATAACTAGCCATGCTACCCTTCAAGAACCAAATCTATGGGAAAAGTTGTAATCATACCAGATATAAAGATTTTTATACCTGTAAGCCCTTTGGAGGGAATAAACACTGCAGAAATGTTGGCAAAAGGTAGGTGTTGAGCATTGAAGATTTTCTGTGATAAATTCAAGAGTACAAGATTAGAGGTAAGGGTGGGAAAATACTTTGGTAATGTCACATATCCCCATAACATGAAATAAATAGCTGGAAAAAGAGGGAGGAGAAAGGGAAAAGTAGAAAAAGCTCATTGATCGACAGATGAGTCAAACAATAGTACATGTAGTTGACAATCCAAAAATAAGAACCTAACTAAAGCAAAATGAACAAAGTACTTTATATAGAGTAAAAAGACAACTACTAGAAGTCCAAATACATAAATAACAAAAAAAAAAATATTTCTCTGAAGAAATGGTTAATTCTAAAACTGGGATAGAAAAAAAAAAAAACAGAAGCTTGGGACATCTACTTATGCCAGAGACCAAAAATGTGCTCAAAACTAGTAAGGCATGTCAAAAAAGGATATAGAAGCAACTTGAAGGGCCTCCCCTCTCTAGATTTAGAACAGTTTGAGGGAAAAGCACTTACTGTAATTGACAATAAAAATTCACATTCCTGCAGACAGAAAACTCATTTTGGGTAGGTGACTATTACAACTCCTTACTGTGAAAATTAAAGGGGAAGAATTAAGCACATGCTTTGCCTTTTTCTCCCCAAGGAAATTTTCCCAGTTGATAAATGAAAGCATTTCTTTAAAAAATGTCATCAAACAAATTTTACAGTGGAAGACAAAATTAGAAAATCACCATTTTAAAACACCTAGTAAAACAATCCATTCAGTTAAGTACCGTCAATGGATAGGTGCTAGGGAATGAGATACTCAGTTTGTTGCCAAAACATCACCCCATTACCACAGAGCATTTGGTAAGTACAAAAGAGGGGGTGGTGTACCTTTACAATGGACTGCTTAATTTGAATTTCATTTATGCTTATTTTGCAGGAGGTACAGCAGATAGAACAAGTTAGATCCACACCATGAGGAAGTAGTCAAATGTAGAAAAGTGAGAGGATACAAATCTGGTTCAAAGTCAGTGCTAAGAGGGAGAAATTGAGGGAACTGTCAAAGACTAAAGAGTTATAAGCAAGTGCAGTGCAAGAACCTTAACTTGATATGTACAAAAAAATAACAGAAGACCATTTGGCAATAATGAGTGACTAGTCTGTAGATGAAATCAGAAAGTTATTGATTTCTTAGGTGTCTTAGTGACTTCATCTTTGACAATGAACTAGGTTAAGCTACAGAGACAAACTGTCCCAACTGTCAGTGACTTAAAACCAAGGTTTATTTCTCACTCCTACTTATGTAGTAATGTTTCAGAAGTATGCTGCTCCCCAATCTATTGCTCTTCATACAAGAGTAATTCTGCATTTCTTTTAAGAACAAGAGATGGTCGCTGCTCTCAGGGTAGGTGGCTTCAGACATTTCTCAGTGATTCCCCTATCACTTTGCATCAGAATCAAAATATTGTTAAATGAAATACTTTGCTATGCAAATTATTTTAGCTCCAAAACCCCAACTAAAACCTGTTGAATGAGAAACTCAAGGTCAGGCATTAAGTTGTTTTCAGTCATATATGCCACTATTTTTATAAAAAAGTCTATGCAAAGATACTTCACTTGCCTAGAAATAACAAGTAACACACTAGTACTTTTTATAATAATGGCAGAAATCAGTTTTTTTTTTTTTTAATAAATGGCAAGTACAGTAGAATACTGTTTTTTAAGACAATCATTCTGGATTAGACTTTATTAAAAATAGATCTCTAGATTCCTAACACATAGTTAATGCAATTTTGAAAACAAGTTCTACATCTTATTTCAAGATATGCTGATGTCTATTAGATGGCCACATTGAAAAGCCAACAAAGTAACTAAAACTTGACTAATGAATCAATGTCTCTGAGAAAAGTCTGCAACTGCTCGTTTTGCTGATGATCGACATTTCATTAAATTTAAGAGTAACAACCACATATTTTTCAGTATTTTAAAAGTTAGTGTCTACCAAAATAATCCCAAAAGGCTAGTACATGCCTGTTAGAATGGTCAAAATTCAGAACATTTACACCACCAGACACTAGCAAGATGTGAAGCATCTGGGGCCCTCATTCAAGATGTTAACTGTTTGGCAGTTTCTTAAAAAATGAACATACTCTTAACATGTAACCCCAGTAATTATGTACCTTTGGTATTTACCCAAAGGAGATGAAAACTGGCCACACAAAAACCTTCACACAGGCATTTATAGCAGCTTTATTCATAATTGCCATAACTTGGAAGCAACCCAGATGTGGGTTGCTTTTTAAAAAAGTTTATTAATTTATGCATACAAGAAATGTGGTGTAGGCCCGAGCTGCAAGGGGTGAGAGGATTTACCAGAGACAGAGTGGGGAGCAGAACAGGCAGATCTGCTGAAATACACTCTGAGGGGAGCGGTGGGTGAGGTCTGCTGGGCCACGTGTGTTAGCACCCTGGCAAGGAATAGGACTCACCCTGCAATGGCTGGCCATAGCTTGATAGTGATGAGACTTTAACGCCTGCGCCACCAGGAAGGTACCCCAAGATGTGCTTTAATAGATGCATGGATAAACAATCTGTGGTACATACAGAGAATGGATACTAAAAAGGAATATATCAAGGCATGAAAAAACATGGGGGAACTTTAAATGCCTATTATTTAATGAAAAAGTTAATCTGAAAGGCTATATACTATAATTCCAACATTAAGACATCCTAGAAATGGTAAAACTATGGAGATAATAAAAGGATAAGTGGTTGCCAGCGGTTGGAGGAAAGGGGAGGGGTGAACAGGTAAAGCAAGATGACTTGCAACGCAGTGAAAAATTTAGGGCATTAAAGTACTCTGTATGATATCATTATACATTTGTCAAAACACACATAACATACACCACCACAAGTGAATCCTCAGGCAAACTATGGATTCTGGGTGAGGATGAGATGTCAACATGGGTTCACCAAATGTAACAAATTACCACTCTGGGGGGAGATGATGATAATGGGGGAGGCTGTGCATGAGTGGGGGAAGGGGCTGCAGGAAAAAAAAATCTCTGAAACTTTCTCCCAATTTTTTTCCTGTGAACCTAAAACTGGTTTAAAAACAATTGAAAAAAAAAAAAGTTAACACTACTTCCCAACCAAATAAAGAGAATTTTTAAAGTCTTTCCTACATTTTAATTTATTCAAGGTGCTCTAAGCTACTTCTAGCCTATCTAACCTATTCAAACACCCCCAAATAAAGTCATACTTTTCTCTGCCAGTAATTTTCCTTCTATTTAAACACCCAGATCAGGGCCTCCCCGGTGGCGCAGCGGTTGAGCGCTGGGTTGCAAAGCTGCCCGCAGCCTCTGCGGCGCCGGTTCGATCCCCGGCTGCTCCCCGGCCACCGGAGGAGGGTCCCACATGGCGCGCAGACCTCTCCTGCCGCCCGCTGCTCCCCTCAGTAGTGTACTTCGGTCCTTCTGCCTGCTCTGCTCCCTGCTCTGGCTCTGGTGAATTCTCTCACCCTCCCGTGCTTCTGACTATACCCAGTGCATGTATAAACAAAACAAACAAACAAACAAATAAATAAAAAATAAATAAAATAAACACCCAGATCAACATTTGGAGAGTCATTTCACCTTGAATGTACCTATTCATCAGATACTGTCTTCCATCAACATGTTGATAAGAGCACAATAGTGATTATAACATTAGAAAGTGACAGGAGTAAAAGGAAAACGTAATGATATTATAAACTGTATTTGCTGGAAATTATTTATGCATGTAACAGTTACCATTTTTCCACATCCATATTTTGAAAAATGAACTGCTCAAACTTTATACTGTTATGATCACTATAGAGTGGAGGTCCATTTGTTTAGGTAAAGGGGAAAAAAAAACAGCCATCTGATCCTATTTGCTTTTTCAAAAGTAAAACATGAACATTTAATTACCTTTAAATAATACATGAAATAATTTACATGCTATAGATTCTCAGACATACTGAATGTAAATCCAATTTTTTAAGACATATATACAATCTGCTTCTTGCCAACAAACATTTACCTTGCAGGTCACTTACAATGTTCACTGATTTCTCAGTCTGTGTGAGCACATAAACACATACATATATGTGTAAAGTTGAAGATTATGATAATAAACCAAACAGGTGAATATAAAAGTCTGCCAAGAAAGATTCTAAAACCACGATCAGTAACAAGAACCAAGTAACAAGGCACTAAAGTTTCCCTTTGCAGTCACAAAGATTAAGTTTCCTGTCCCAGAGCTTCAATATGGAAATAGGCTTTGCTAAATCACAGACAATATTTAATAGTATTTTTCTGTTACTGTTATTGTTTAAAATGAATATTTTTCTTATTATGTAACATGTTACAGAAAAGCATTGGAAAAATAAACAGGATTAGATAAGCTCTCATACAATAAAGTTGTTTTCTACTTGAAAAATATATTTACGATCAAAACTAACAATAGACATAGGTGTAAAAAAGAGACACTTGAGGAATCCTATGCAGAGACGCTCGTACTCCTGAATCATACCTTGTGCCACTCATGTTACTTAAACTTTCCATTTTAAAGCCAGAGAGGTGATACTGTCAATTACAAATGATTTAATTTAAAGGTATGTACTAGTTCATAGACTAAACAGTTAACATGGTAAAATAAAACAATTCCTAGTATCTAAGTTGCTTTTGTTAAACATTAGCTTCATATTAGGCTATCCTTAATTATCCTTTTTCACTCTTCTCTACTAATAGAGAAGAAAAAAATGTTTCACAGAAATAACTGCTTTAAAACTCATGCAACCAAGCCAAATCTAAACTATCTGTAGTTCCTTTTTTAACCTCTAAAATTTTGGGTAAACTTTAAGTTAGATATTCTAGGAACAACAATTCATCAGAGATAAAGAAGTTTAAAAAATATGTATGTATGTACATTGTTTCTAAAAACAATTTCAGTTAGAACACTTTACACTTAGTTACCAAAGGAATAAAGTCAACCACAAAAAATAAATGGAATGCAGTAATCCATACATAAAAGACAGTCAATATTCTTATATATACTCAAGAAGCCAATAATCTAAGTTGTGAATAAGTTATCAAATGTAGCACTAAACAAACTGTAATCAGAATAAAACCTTCAGTTTTGTTAATTTTGAATGCAGATTTGGGACCTGCTAAACATTACAGTAGCAGTGTACTTTTGCAATTGCTTATATAGGCATATTATAGCATGCAACTGCTGTTACAGAGCACAACTCTTTACAAATAAAACAAGGTTGGCCAAAACAAAAAAAAAATCTTATTCTAGGCTAAAAAACTTAAGTGTAAAGAATAAACTGAGATTTTAAGGCTTTCTTAGAAATATATTTCATGGCACTTCAACATTAAACATCACTAGTAGGCAAAATATGTAAATATTCAGTTACATAATCAAAGTACATGCCGTTTCAATTATTAGGGACCACTTTGTTAAGTTTGTTTACTGGCAATTAAATTATACTTAAGGATGGCCACTGATGTTTGTCTGTAATTAACATATAAATGATACAGAAATGTCAATCCACTACTATACAGTAGAATTGTTTCTTGAGTGAACCCACCAACACCACTCATTTCTCACAAAACTGAAAGTCATTCCTTGCCAGAAATGCAATAAAACTGACATATTTCTCTGACAAGAGCAGTTATTATCCTCTCTTCAACTATTAACTGTTAAACTCTAAGATCATTATAAGACAAATTACTTTTGCTCATGCACACACATCACCCTCACAATAATCCACTTCTTCCATTACAATAGGTTCAGAAAATACTCCGGAAGTCTAACAAGTCATTCTTGCTACACCATACTCTAAGCTGACCACAGCAGGTTCTGATTTGGAAAACTCTTCAGTGTATTCACTGTAACGATTATCTGCTGGGTTGCTGCCCTCTATAGTTCGAAGAGCATCATTCCCAGGTAACAGAGATTGCTCTTTAAAACACAGTGAAGCTTTGAGGGTAGGTGATTCAGGATGAACTGAATGCAACAATTCCTTGGTGAGAACTCCATCTGCTTGCTTCTTTTTGTATTGCTTCATTTTCTAGAACAAATTCAAATTTCAAAAAAAAATTACTAAATAACATATACTACATGTTCAACATGTTATATGAAAGAAGAAAACATGCTTTAACAAGTTTCTTTTTATGTACAATAGTTAAATTGTATATAATTAAAATTACTCTCAAAAATTAATAAAATTGAATGTAGGTGAAAAAGACATTGTTGAGAGTCCTAGCTCTTCACAAATTTTGCAATGAAAATCATTAGCTAAGATTTTATTACAGAAGATCATGGACTACAGAAGATCACTAATATTCTATATAAATTAATAATAAATTAATATTTGAAAAGGACATTTACTACCTACAAAATCTAACTATACATTTTATAATGAAAGAAATACAGAAATACACCCTGAATTCACAACTGATAATGTAGCAAATACATTATCTTCTTATTGCCTAAGAAGATTTCTTACATGGTTTTTCTACAAAGATTTGTGAAGTAGACATGAAAGCACTTTTTAAAATTTTTAAACATAACAGAAGATTGAAAAAAAATACTTTCTGGCAGAATATCAAACTCTCCAAATCATTGGACTGATCTCCATTCAATCTTCTTTTATTAACTACATTACATCTTCAGTTTGCCTCTCCTTTTATGTATCTTCCTGCAGTTCACTAAAGCAATCATTACTTCTTAGCTGAGAAATGGTTAAAGAATGTTCCCACCCGAGAGGCAGACTAGATAGTCTTACTGAACTACAGCAACTACCTAGGATTTAAAAAATACGTAATTACTATTCCTTTTCAGTTATATATATATAAAGACAAAGAAAAGATTATAGAACAATCTCAGGGTGGAGAAGGCTTTCTTAAACAAGGTACACAAAGATGCACAAAACACTATATTAAAATTCAAATATCTGTACAAAACTTACCACAAATAAAGTGGGAGAGACAAAAATAGACAAAGACATTTCCAATACATATAACAAAGAATTAGTGTCTTGTATATGAAGAATTCTTACAAAGTCAGTAAGGAAAAGGCAAATGTGACAACAGGAAAATGAGTGAAGATTTGAATAGGCCATTCGCATAAAAAGAAAAACCAAGTGGCCAACAAACTCATAAAAAAGTCATTCAGGGCCTCCCCGGTGGCGCAGCGGTTGAGCGCTGGGTTGCGAAGCTGCCCGCGGCCTCTGCGGCGCCGGTTCGATCCCCGGCTGCTCCCCGGCCACCAGAGGAGGGTCCCACATGGCGCGCAGACCTCTCCTGCCGCCCGCTGCTCCCCTCAGCAGTGTACTTCGGTCCTTCTGCCTGCTCTGCTCCCCGCTCTGACTCTGGTGAATTCTCTCACCCTCCCGCGCTTCTGACTGTACCCAGTGCATGTATAAACAAAACAAACAAACAAACCAGCAAACAAATAAATAAAGCATGCCTCTATAAAAAAAAAAAAAAAAGTCATTCAGCTTACTTGTTCATCATGGAAATCCAAAACTGAAAACGTTTTAAATATTCAGTAACAGCTGAAGGGATAGACTGTGATATATTTATTCATATAATAGACTATTATACAATAATTTCCCAAAAATGATAAATTAAAACTACATGTATCAATTATCCATGCATTTCAAAACACAGTTGAGCAAAATGGAGAATGACCGTATGAGAAGCCTGTCATAGTTTTAAAATATGCAATCTCTTAAGTGTGTAAAGGATATATGGGCATCTGTATTATCTGCTGCCTCATGTCTTTATACAATATGTATATTCTTTTGTGTTTTCTCAATACATAATAAATGTAATATATATTTATATAATAGTGGGCAAATGTATATTAAAACATTATAAATTGTAGTAAACATGCAATACAAGTATAGAAATATACACAGGTATGATTCAGCACAGTAAAAGTAGATGGGGAAAGAGTGAGTAGAGAGTCCTCAAATACATTTATAATGCATTATTTCTTGAAATGAAAAATCTGAAGCAAACAAGGTAAATGCTAAAATCTCACAGAGCTAGGTTGTGGATACCCCAATATTTATTAGGTTTATAGCTATGCTTTTCTAAACATTTAAACTATTTCAATATATTTTAAAATATAGAAAGGCACTTCAAACAAACCTAAAGTAGAGATCTAATTTTGAAGCAATCGTGTACTTACAGTTTTCTATATACACTGATTTGCACAGACAACACAAGTAAGGAAACAGATTTAATATTCCAAATATTTTACATCAGCTACATTAGAATACTTACAGATTCTAAGTCTTTAATATCTTCCTCTAACTGCTTGTTTTGCTCATTCATATTCGTAATTATGTCAAACACAGACTGTCTAGGATGCAATGTTCGATCAAATTGGTGGTACATGCTCCTCCAAAACCTTTATGACAAAAATGAAGTTTCAATAAAATGTGTTTGAGAAAAGTCAAGTATAAATTAAACACTTCAAAGATGCTGGCTTACTTGAAATTGAAAGAGACTGTATTTGGCTCCAAAACTGCAAATTTCTGAGATTTGGAGCTGTAGAGAGGATTTAAGTACTTCTTTTGATCATCCAAAAGAAATGGCCACACAGAGTAAGTCTTCTCCTTTAACCTTAATGTAATGAAAAACAAAGATCTTTCCCATAGATGGTCACACTAATTTTAATAAATCAGGCAAAAAGTTTTACTTTCTCTTCCTATTCAAAGTCTAACCCCGTCTTGTCTCTGAATTCTGTATTCTCGTTTCACCTTTTTCACTCAAAATCGTATAATAAAGATTCAAGATTCATATCCCTTGAATATATACAGGTTTATCAACTTCTCTCAAAACCATAAACTTTAAGAGATTCCTTTCATTTTTAAAAAGATTTTTATTTATTTATTTTTGTGTAGAAGAACTGGGGTATAGGCCAGAGTTGCAGAGGGTGAGAGGATTCACCAGAGCGGGGAGCACAACAGACAGATCTACTGAAATACACTGTTGAGGGGAGCAGCAGGCCAAACAGGAGAGGTCTCCTGGGCTGTGTGGGTTAGCTCCATTGCTGGGGATAGAATTCAAGCCACCAAAGTAGCACTAGACTTAACCCTAGGCCACCAGGGAGGTCCAAGAGATACCTTTCTTACCTCACACAATTTCATAAAATTTGCTCCCTGTTACGCCTATTTCAAATCATCACACCTAAGTACATCGAACAAGGTGTTAAGAAAAAATCATATTACTCAAGAGTAAAAATTACTAATTATATTGCAAATCTAAGAATAAGTAGGTGAGTAAAGAATAGAATAGTTTTAGATATACTTACGAAGTATACATAAAATAGATAGGAGTAAAGGGGGGGAAGTGGAGAATATGCTCATTTTTTTATAGCCCTTAAAATGACACGTAGGTATGTTCTTAAGAGAATGACTGGTAGGAAATAATCTCTTTTTTTTTTTTTTTTTTTTTAAATAGTATTTTATTTTATTTTATTTTTAAAGATTTATTTAATTTATTTATTTATACAAGCACTGGATACAGTCAGAAGTGCGGGAGGGTGAGAGAATTCACCAGAGCCAGAGCAGGGAGCAGAGCAGGCAGAAGGACCGAAGTACACTGCTGAGGGGAGCAGCGGGCGGCAGGAGAGGTCTGCGCGCCATGTGGGACCCTCCTCAGGTGGCCGGGGAGCAGCCGGGGATCGAACCAGCGCAGCAGAGGCTGTGGGCAGCTTCGCAACCCAGCGCTCAACCGCTGCGCCACCGGGGAGGCCCGGAAATAATCTCTTTTATTATCATTCTCTTATTTATGAGAATGTTTCGAACTAATTGAGAAGGGAATTTTTCGTAAAATAGCTTTAGATTCCAAGAGTCACCTGCTCCAAATTATGATAAACCGTGAATTACTGCAGCACAGAGCTAAAGTCTTAATGTTTGTGATTTTGTTCATCTCTTTCAAACTCTGTTTACATATGCTCTGTTATTCCCTTTACACATCTTAGAATCTTCCATATGATCTCAGTTCTGCCTTCAACTCTGTTGGGAGTAAGAGTACATGGCTGCTCAAATTACTAACAGATTTAGCTTCTCTAGTATCTCACTTGAACATTCACGAATCTGTAATTGCTTTTTATTGACTCTTTGGAAGAAATCTATAAACTCTGAATCCGAGGCATGGATATATACCTCATAGCCTTACCAAAGCCCTCCCTTGCATTAGAATTCAGCCAGAAACTGCTACCTTCAAAGCCAGGGTAGGGAAGAATAAGTATGGGACCCCACTCAAGGACAAACTGCAACCAACAGAGGCAAATTTATTCATGCCAAAGAAATGCCTGTTTAGAAATGTAAGAACTATAAGGTTTCATTGTACTTTAAAATCAATACTTAAATCTTTTACCATACTTTAAAACTTAATGATGAATACTTTCTGGAAAATGGAATTGTGTCAAGATTATTTTGTTCTAAATGTAAATTCAGACTAGAAAGGAGCATTCTAGAATGTTGGTAATGTTTCTTATTCTGGGTGCTGGTTACATAGGTAAATGAATTTAAGATTTATTGGCCTTTAATTGATACTATAGGTACTTTTCTGTATGCAGGCTACACTTCAAATGTTTTGAATGTATTTTTACTATTAACCTGAGGCTATGAAGGATGAAGGTATTGAGTTTCAGAAATACAAACAAAATTTTTATGATAAAATTCAGGACTGTTTCATGTCAAGATATTTTATGAAGTTCAAGGATCTATGTTAGACCTCCCTCAGCTAGTAAAAAAAAAGAGTCCATTTTCATCAAACCATCTTACTTGAGTTCTTCTCTTTCCTTTTGACAATTTCCAAGGAAGTTTCCAAACTGACATGAATGAATATGTTCATGGATCTGAAGAAGAAATGCTTCATTGAATTCAAAGGCCTGTGGAAACTGTTCAGTCAAATGCCATACACATTCCAAGAACTGAGTAAACACCGGTGAGACTTCCTTTGCATCACCATCCAAATGGCCACACCTGAGACCCCAGAAAGTACAAGCTTTTAAAGTTGCCTCTAAAAATTCATTGTTCAGGTATTGTTAAAATTAAACATACACACACATACACACAAAATCACCATTGTTAGATTATGACAAAAAACTGTATTGCTTTTATTAAAACAACTTATGATGATGAGTTTTTCAAGTGCAATTTTAAAGGATCTGTAACTACTAACTACAACATATAAACAAAAAAGGTAGCAAGTAGCCATGAAAATTAACTCAGGTAAGAAAACTGAAATGACAGAAAAAAATTAAATTAGTCTTTATCCAAAAACCATAACACTCTCACACCCCATCAGACATGCAAGCAGATGAAGACAGACACTGTGGCACTCTAAGTTAGTTATGAATTTTACAGCATATGTAAAAGTCTAACTGTGACTCACCTCTCTGAAAATTTATGTCCAAAGGAGATCCAATCCTTTTCTATTAAAACCTTAATGATAAAAAAGTATAAAATTTATTTTATAACTATTTTCAATTTTCATTGTTGTTCAGAATGGACTAAATCTTATTATCTTAAAAAGAAGCACTTATACTTTAATTTTATGGTTGAAAACAAAACAACAAAACATTTTTAATTGTAAGAAAATCCCTGGATTTTAGAGGTGGGGTTAAAGAAGTGAATGACACATAAAAGGAAATTCAGTTATCTGTGACTTTAACTGTTTCAGTTGCACTTATTACATTTTAAGTGAAAAGCACATATTATTATAAAGCAGTACTGCACTTGCAATTATGTATGTATGATGAAACTATGTGCATAGAAAAAAAGACTAGGAAAATGTAAAACAAAATGCTAACAATGGGTAATTTTGGGTGGTAGACTATTGTGGATGTTTAAAACTTTTGGCTTACTTGTATATTACTTATATAATAAAATGGTAGAGACCAATGAAAAGTTTGCATTCAAATTCAAAAGTTGACATCGAATCTCCTGAATCTTCCTTTTATCTGTTTTCGGTCACAACACGATCAAGTAAAGATGCAATTTCTGGAGTTATATTTTATGAACTTAAATCCTAACTTTGCCACTTCCACACCTGCAACCTGGGCAACTGATCTTCAGGCTGGAACTCAGATTTTATTATAAGCCCTTTTCCATTCTCTATACACCAACATTTAAAACTTAACTCAGTATCTTTCCCACTAGATATATTACTCTGCTTACTTCAATGAAGAGCAGAAGAATAGCAATGTACATATTGGCAACTGAGTCTGGAGCCTGGATCCTGGAAATGCCTCTCTCTTATTCCACATCCATAATCCATGAACAATTCTTACTGACTGTACTTTCTTAACACCCCTTTGGAACTCATCCCCTCCCCTCCATTTCTGTGGTCCTGCCTTAAATCTGACCTCCTTTTTTCTCTCTTGAGTTATCATAACAGTTTCTATATTGGTCTCCTAGCCTCTGCCTCCATTCCCATTCCCCTAGTCTTCAAGACATGAAAATACCTTCTTAAAAGCATCTAAGCAAATTACAAAATGTTTCTCTAAATAAAGTCCTTCAATGGCTCGTCTACCCAAAGAGGGCATAGTCCAAACTCTAGTCTTCTTCAGACTCTCAACTCCACTATATTCCTCTGCACCCAAGTTCTTAACACTAACACTCACCCTGACTCCACTCTGCAGACATCTAACGGAGCTATGCTTTATTCTCAATGTTCCTGTTACCTGGGAAGCTCTTACATTGTCCCTATTGTTTATTACATCATTTTACTTGGATGTCTAGCAAACAATCACAAATTAAACATGTACTTCCCTTTGTCCTGCTCCAGATTCAGTATGTTAGCACCACAGAGTGGTGATATTAAACCTGGTGATACTAAACTTTCTCTTGCTTTAAGCTGCATTTTAATTAATACTTATAAACTAATGAAAACTTTCTACCATCTCTTCATTTACTTTACATGACATGAGTTAAATATATATAAAATTTGAAAATGAGTTAATCTGATCATATGTAAAAGAAACAATAGACAAGTCAGGGTTTTAGTTAAAAAAGCTGAAAATCTGTTCAACTGGAAATTTAATCTTCAGATATAAAACATGCTTCCTAAAAAGTAATTAGCATATGAAGAACTTGTAAATAGCAAGTTTCCTCTTGAACATGATTTTTTAATATTCTTATTTATGCCTTATTTTACCACATTATTTGTATTTGTTAGATAAATGAGAAATACTAAATACCTCTATTGTAATATTTTAGGGAAAAAACTTAAAATCTAAAATTTTTGTCAAGAAGGTGTCACAAAAGGAAATCAGTATAACTCAAGGCCTTTTAACCTTAGCGTTACTAACATATGTCCAGATCATTCTGTGCTGTAGGCCCATCCTATATATTATAGAATGCCTAGTGTCTCTGGCATCAGTAAGCTAGATGTCAGCTACAGCCTTTCTTTCAGTTGTAACAATATCTCCTAATACTACCAAATTTCCCCTAGAAGGACAAAAATCAACCTTACTTTAAGAAGCACTGGTCTAGTCTAATAAATCCTTACCATGAATCCTTGGATTGTCCTGTAGTAGGAATCCAGCAATAGAGAGCCAAGGGAACAAACCTGGGAAGTCCTATCCCACCCATCAGAGCAATGTACCAACACACTTGCACTTTCAACCATTATTGCCTGAAAAGAAAGATCACATAACTTAGATTCTACCAGGATACATGTTAGGTAATCAATAAGTTCCACTTATTCAAATATCATACTAGTAATTATTAAATGATAAAGAACTCTGATTGCAATGAGAATGTCACATTATAATTTCTAAAAAAGAAGACAAAACACCACATAATCTTAAAGCAAAAACCAAACACAAAGGCACTGTTTCAGAGAGTGTGGGAATTTCTTTTTAAGTCCCTACATTAAGTGCTACATAATATTGTTAAAGTTCAAATTAAAGTAAACCTCATTAAGAGGAAAAACATAATAAAATTTATCTAACTGGAAAAGATTCTAGCACCCAACAGAATAAACCCATTCCTTTCCAATCTTCATAAACCCAGAAACCAAATATGAACAATGAACAGTTACTCTGGCTAAGAAGATTGCAGCATCCATAACAGCTTTGATATGACGAAGCCATCCTGAGTTCTCCAAGCCAGAATAGAAATCATTGACCGAAAGCCCCTTGGTCCCATTGACTAAAAAAGGGAGAAAAACATTTCATTAGAATGGCACAAGAGTCTATTTAAGATGTCCTATTTAAGATGTCTTTAGGTGAGTGAACTGTGTAAGAAGAGAAGGTGACTGTAGGGAAAACTATATATAAAAAGATACTATGAAGCTCAATAACGGATTTGGGGGTACATTTTGCTATCATTTCCTGTGTTTTAAAAAAAATGCTCCAATCTCTTTATTAAAATAATTTGCAGCACAACAATTTAATTAAAAATAGTCTGGTATTTTAATTTTTAAAAATTCCACACCAGATCATTAATGTTTAAATGAAATATTATGATCCTACATTAATCTTCACTACCAAGAATATCTAACAATAGTAATTTTTCTAAAACTATTAGAACCATACCATCCAATAGAGTGGCCACTACCCAATTATGGTTATGGAACACCTGAGATGAGGCTAATCCAAACTGAGCTATGCTGTAAGTGTAAAAAAACCCACATTCAATTCTTAAGACTTACAGCGAAAATATGTAAAATATCTCATTAATAATTATTTATATTGATTACATGTTAAGCTTTCTTAATGTTAGGTTAAGAAAATATATTCTTAAAATTAATTTCAACTACTACTTTTTTAAATATTAGAAAATACTAATTCTACAATTTTAAACTTTAATATGTGATTAGCATTATATTTCTATTGGACAAAGCTGCCTGGAAGGTAAGCAATAATCATACCTTCCAGTAATTTCTGAAGGCTGGACCTCATGACATGAATATTTTCAATTCCAACAAACTGAAATCTAATGTTAGAATAGTTGTCTTCATTTTCATAACCTTTTCCAGCTGCTCTGTTGGCCATTGCATTCAGCTAAAATTTAAAATTATAGAAATTTAGTGACAAATTATCTTTTAACTTAGTTTTTACCAAAATATGAAAATATTAAATAAGCCGTATTTTAGCTACAAGAGAATTTAAAGGAACTGATTAAAACTGAATATGATACTATTTTTTAAATAAATAAAAATGTCACATGTATTAACAGTAAAGAAGAATACAATAGGGCCTCCCTGGTGGCACAGGGGTTAGTCTCAGCACTATGAAGCTATCTGTAGCCACTGCAGCACAAGTTCGATTCCCAGCCATGTTGCTGACCCACATGGCGCAGCAGACCTCTCCTGTCTTGCCTGCTGCTCCCCTCAGCAGTGTATTTCAGTCAGTCTGCCTGTTCTGCTCCCCACTCTGTCTCTGGTGGATCCTCTTATCCCCCTGCACCTCTGGCCTACACCTCAGTTCTTGTATGCATTAATAAAATAAATCTTTAAAAAACAAAAGAATACTATAACAACATGAATACATAAAAGTTCCCTACAAATAATTCATGAAAATAATTTTTTTTTGTTTTTAATCAGTTTTCCATATTTCAAAATTTATGTTTCTAATTTTTCAAAATTTAAAAAAAAGGAAATAATCTCTCCTTAATCTGAGATGATTGGAGCTGAGCAGAGCTGTGGAGTCTTTGTTTTACAGAATGAACCTATAAATTTTACTTCAGAATAAGCCTAGAGCACTTGGTCATTCAGAAAGTCACATATTTGAGGTGAGTCAGATCATCTGAAGTCCTCAATATTACAAACAAGTGGAGATCCATACAGTATATAATACAACACATAATCCATTAGCCTGATAGATCTCCTAGAACTGGGCCCAAAACAAACTTCTCTCTAGGAGTAAAACAAACTGCCTTTAGGCCCATGGCCTTCAGTTATCAGATCAAATGCCACCAGAGGTTCACTGAGGCCTTCCATACGTTTGATTCTTTCAGACTTGGATTTCATGTAACACATCATTACAATTTACTTAAATATTCTTATGAATTTGAATGAAGCAGAACCAAATTTAGAAAAAAAGCTAAGTGTTTCCATTCAATGGACCCAGGCCAATGTTGCTAACAAGCACTGTAAAATTTTATTTACCATTTCAGTGGTTATTCAGCACTGATGATGACTAAAGTCAGAGTTAGAAATTTAAAATACTATTCTATATTACTTCTAATTAAGTTTAACTAGTAAAGCAGTCAAAGATATAATTTTTGTATCAAAATCAGTAATACAAATAAAAGATAATAGGTCCTGAGAAACAAATCTTCCTCAGACCTCCTATCCAGAAAGTCCTGTATTATAATCATCTCTTATATCAAGTATTATCTAAGCATTAACCTAGCCAGATTACACAAGTAAAAAAAATTTTTACAAGAGATATCACCAGTACTCTTGAATTCTAAGAAAGTATTTTCTCTTTAACAAGTTTTCAAATTATTAAATTCTACCTTTTATTACTTTTTAATTTACTGAAATTAATCTTGTTTTCTACATATCTTTTTTTAAATTACACAATGATGAGAATTACTTCTAAAACAACTACCATTCCTTTCAACAAAGCTGCCTAAAATTGTGTTCTATATTTATAGCTCACTCGCTTTTTCTCATCGCTTTCTCTTATTTTCTCATCATTCCAGATTTTTGAAGAAATCCTCACTATAATTCTGCCAATGTCCTTTTGTGAAGCCCACCAGCTCTGCATGTGATGCTATAATAAAAATTAAAAGTAATGTTAGCCATTACCTTTGAGGATTTTAATTACTTTAGTTTCAGGATCCTATATAAACTGGCTATTTAAGTGTGTTTGTTAGAAAAAGGGACTCTGACATTTGTTCCCGTGATAAAAATTTAACCTTAAATTAAAGACAACTAACAGAGCAACTATTTCCTATTTACTATTAATTCTCTAGATCCATGTTTCCTAAGTTAACTGTTTCCCTTAATGTCTTGAGTATTTCCAATTAAGATGCATTATTTTAACAAAGCATTTTGCCAATTAAAAATTCTACCAATAGTAGTAAGAATTTCTAATTTTTTACATCACACATTATTCAGTATTCTTTCAAAATAACTTAAACACTACTGAGTTCCCAATATAAAATCAGTTTCCCCAAATTTCTATTACATATATGTATCAAAAGACTTAAGAAATACCATCTGGGTTACTGAGAATTTGGTTTCCTATGATGGTAGCTTTTAAGAGACTGAATTCCTTAGTCATCATTAGACTGGATTAATACAAACTAGGATTCATCAGGTATTTTAAATATGGACTGATTGATAAACTCCCAATAATTAACAAAGATTTGTACTGTTTTCAAGACACATACTTTGGGTCTGGTATCCACAACATACATATAGCGATTGACTGGGTTGGCTTTACTAATGGCTTGAAGCAAATGTTCATCCTCCAGGCATCTGGCACTGAATCCTGAGAGTGGTTGACTACATCGACAAATGGCAGCCTGATTTTTAAAAGACAGAAAATAGATTATCCAAAGATGTCTAGAATATGTCTTAAAAAATGCCTAAAGGAAAAAAAATGCAAAAATTTAAATCAAATATGCAATCTGTTTTCCCACTAGTCTCTTCTACTAAAAAGCCTAAATGCTTTCTTACCTAGCTTGATTAAAAAAATCTTAGGTCCTTTGAAAAAATACCTGGTCAGTTGTATGTCACGTTTCCATATTTTCATTCTTTGCTAGATTTAGATTACAAAATAATTTCAGTTTAAGTAAAAATTAGTCAATAAATATAAAACAAATAATTTTAAAGCAGCAATATATGAACTTTTATTTTTCAAAGACCGTTAGATCTCTAGAAGTCAGCAACATTTATGTAAAATGAGATGTGAGAAAACTAACTTTCAACTCAAATCTGGGTTAAAATATAGTAAATCTAAGAGGACTAAAATATCTGTAAGAAGTAGTAAATGTGGATTACATAATTTATTGTCATTTAAAATCTTAAAAGAAGATTAAAAAAATGTAAGCCTATATACTTTTTCTCTAATCTTATCCATACCAATTCCAGCTCAATTCTACTCAAACAGTCCAACCACAATATCATTAAGAAAAGAATATCTATGTAACTCACACTCATGTATTTTACATCCACACAGAAACTAAAACCATGAAAATTTAATACAATAGTAGGAAGAAAATAAGAACTACTTTATTAAAACTTCTTTCAGACCTACTTTCTGATTTGTTAAGTTAGGGATTAAATACCTATTATCAGCCAAGTTTTCCAAATAAAAAATGTATACAAACATGGGTGTGTCAAACAAAGGCCATACCATAACCTGTCATATCCCTATGATTTTGTTCTGAAAAGTAAATTAGGAATGTGTATTTGAAACTTTATTTTTTACCTCTGGCTCCCTTCTAAGCCCAACTAAAGTTCAAATAAAGAAATTTAAAATGTATAAAACCAAAAAGGCCAAAGAGAATAGCGGAAAAGACAAAATATAATAGAGATGCAATAAAATTGGAGGAAATGAAAGCAATTGACAATAACCAATTATTTGCTGTGACTCACTAGAAGCAATGTATCTGGAGCAGCAAAATCCAAGGAAAGTTCAGGATTTGGTACCTCTGAAAGCCTCAGTTTGGGTAAACTGGAGAAGCTACTATGCACACAAACAAACTACACAACTTTGTAGTACCTCACTCTTAAATATGAGAGGTCAGCCAAGAATAAGATATCTGAAAGACATGAGAAACAAAAACAAACAGAAAAAAAGGAACTCTGAACAAACAGATAACTAGCGTGGGAAGCATTCTTTTCACAAAGAATTCAGAAAACAGGAAAGAGCATACAAGACTTTCAAAATGCTATCGCAAAAATAAAGAATTAAAGAGATGAATTGGAAATAATGTTGAGGAATCCTCCAGAAAACAGAAAGAGATAGAAAATAAGAGAGAAAATTAAGAAAAACTGAGGCTTACACTAGGAATCCCAATTGTCAATGAATACACACATACACACGAGAGTAAGTTAACAAAGAAGTAATTTCCCAAAACTGGGACCTGAGTTTCCAAATAGAATTTAAAATAGCACACCAAGGCACATCACTGTGAAATTTCACAATAAGGAAAAAGAAGATTCTAAAAGTTTCCTAAGGACAAAAACCAGGCCACAAAATATTGGGAGTCAGACTGGCATCAAATACCTCACTTACCAGATACATATAGGAAAAGTGACTTATCATCTCTGAACCAGTTTCCCCATTTGCAGGTTACAGGTACGTAGCAAAACCTGCTTTATATAGTTGTTATGAGGTTCTCATGCATATAAAGCATTTAACATATAATACCTGCTAACCTACTGTTACAGGCTACAAAAGTAAGTTCCACTAAAATGAAAATCCCTATCAGAGCATCTTAGTATAAAGCTTCCTACTTTCCCTCTTCATATCGCAAATCCCTCCTAGTTTGAAATGCTTACTATGAAAATGAGTTTGGAATATCTATGGTTCTCTCCCTTTTCTCAAAAGTTGCATTGTCAAAATTATCTGGTGTCCTCCACTACAAGCAGGATCAAAAGAGAACCAAAGGAAAGAAGAGTCTGGTCATGAATCTTATTGTTTTCAAGTCTCTACTCAAACAAAGGAAGTGGGGAAGAGGGAAGAAAGATACAAGAATGAAAGTTTCTGTGATTGTCATGGCAGCTTTGCTTTAAAATTTCAAAAATGTAATTAAAAAGTCAGCACTCCTCTATCAGCAATACCTCTATCAGCACTCCTCTATTATGTCAACAACTTCTTAATGTAAAAGTGAGTGTTCTTTTGGATACTTAAGGCAGAAGACGGTTATACCACCTTTATAGAAAGCAAATGAAAAGATTCCTACCTCCTTCTCTTCATGATAATAGGAGAGAACTGGGAATCTTCCCTTGCTCCGGAATTTGGAACTGCCAACAATTATTGGCTTGCTTACACTTTGGGGAACATAAAGTTCTCTGGGGTAAGTTTCACATATCTGTAAATAACAAATAAAACAAACCTTTTTTTTTTCAAAGTTCAAAAATCATGAGGTTAGAAACCACCTTTAAAAAACTTTAAAATGCAAGCATTTATTAAATGCAAGAACAGTACATAGCAATACAAAGACAATTTGCTACCATTATACTCTGACTCTCTGGTACTAACACTTTCTTAATTTCTTCGAAATTGCTAAGTTACCTTATATTCTCGGTTGGCATCAGACAACTGCCAGTTTGGGTTTGGCACGCCCATCCTCTTATATTCCTTAGCAAGGTCAATGAGCTGCCAACCTTGTAATCGTTCTGAATCATTTTGTTTCGGATTATAAGAGAATGCATAAAGATCTTCATATTTTGCTGTAGTACATAAAAAAACACACGTTAAAACTAACAAGACTTGAAGCTCTATGAAAAAAATATATTTTTTTCATTTTTATGCCTCCATTTTTTCTTTAAGAGATGGGTAATATATGAACTAGTATTTTCTCAGTTCTTTGACACAATTAACTATATATAAAGGCACACATATCAATCTGAGATTCAATTTATAGCATCAGCAAAATTAGTAGATAAAAGTTAGACTTAAATACTAATTTCTCCACTATATTTCCTTTTCTTGAAAGTAAAATTTTAAAGACAGACTCTTCCCATTCAACACTTCTAACACATGAATGTAAACAGAAAGACAGTAATCTAATAAAAAGCTAAATGTTAAATATAGAATGTAAAATTGCACATACATTCCCATAGGACAGTGTGAACAAAAATGCAAGGATTGCACAGAGCTCCAGAAAACATTTCTGAACAATAGTAAGTTCCATAAAAGTCACACAATCATCTTTACTATAAGACCTGATTTAACCTGAGACAATGGGACATAGATTACAGGCTTTATGTGTTACAAGAGGGAGAGCACAAACCCACTCCAAAACTACCACAATCCAGCAACATTCAACTACCACAAACATAACATTCAGTAAGAACAGACAAACCCCTGCGCTTTGTGTTCCTGAAGAGATCTATGTGATTCAAGTCATATTGGGGGAAGGACGCCTCCAGATTCCTAAGGCGTAAGGTTCCTCTTTAGGACCTATACTCTCAATCCTACCTCTACTGAAGTAGGATTCACACTCTCTTTTCCCTCTGCTCAGTTCCCTTATGCTCCATTCTAGTCCATTAAACATATTAGTCCCTTGCTACTGAAAGAGCCTGGTCTCCTTAAACTTTCCTTTTGTAGTATCAATTTCTAAGTTATTCCCCTTGGTTGTGGGATATCCACTTTTAAAAAAAGCTCCGACACTATCAACAGACTTCAAAAACATAAACATATGACTATGGTTTTTCAAATCGATATTATAAATATATTGCTTTTCCCTTATTACTATGCTTTTTTTTGGAACCATTCTTTTAATTCTTACAATTCACATTAGAAGTTTCTAACTCTTTCTAGACAACATATTTTGGAGTGCACAAGAACTTGACTTTAGAATAAGTTAAAGTATAAAACAGCAATATTAGACATTAGATAATTCATTTCAAAATTGAGCAAGTAAGTTTTGCTGTCTAAGATCAGTACCTTGTTTTGACAGTTGTAGCAAAGAGTTGTAAATATCATGGCAATCTCTTTCTCTGGGAACAATAAAATGCACAATCCTGAAGTTCTTGCACTGAATTACAAGTGGGCATCCAGAAGTAGTCAAAGCCAATTTCTCTACAGAGGCAATATGGTGGTGCAATATCTACAACATGGAAAAGCAAACCAAAAAATTTGATCATTCATTATGAAAAGCACAAAGTATCTTATTCTTTGTGAAAATGCAAAAATGTTAGAAATGGCCTCTTGAAATAGTCTAAAATGTTATATGCTAAACAAATACTCTTAATTCACATACTTAATAAGGTTGAAAATGTACTTGTCTAAGACCAGATAATTTAACCCCAAGAAATATCTGAGAAACTCTGAACATACATGAAAAATACACACACACACACACACAAATTAATTTGATTGTTGCTACAATTTGATACCAATACTACAGAATATACCATTTGACCCATTAACATGTACAAATATTATTTAGATTAAAAAATTTTAGAAACAAAATATTAAAACCAATGTTACCTCAACTAAAAAAAAGAAGTAGATGGTTTATAATTACTTATGTAGATAAAAAGACTTGCTGGTTATTTGCAAAATAATTCCACATTCCACATGATATTGTTTTATTTATTTATTTATTTATTTTTAAGGTTTATTTATTCATGCATACAAGAACTGGGGTATAGGCCAGATGCCTGGGAGGGTGAGGGGATTCACCAGAGACAGAGCGGGGAGCAGAACAGGCAGACAGACCGAAATACACTGCTGAGGGGAGCAGCGGATGAGACAGGAGAGGTCTGCCTTGCCATGTGGGACTCTCCCAGGCTGGCCGAGAATTGAACTGGTGTTGCAGAGGCTGCAGACAGCTCCACAGCACTGCACTCAACGGCCTAAGCCACCAGGGAAGGCCCCACATGATATTGTGTTATTAGGAGGGTGGGTAGAAATAATCCAGAGACTCCGAAAAATGTTTGGTTGAGATAGGTAACCGGTAATTAAAATTCTTTGTAGATGTCCAAAATAAAACACAGAAAAAACTAAGTTCATGATTACAATTATTTTAAACAATAAAGAGAGGAGGAACTCTTTACCCAGGTTTCTTTCTGGTGAGAGTCTATAAATAATAGATGTGTAGCAGTAAGATACAATGTTCCTGTTAATGATTTGTTATTGGTACTGAATCTGTCAAGTAATTTCACTTGCTCTACCTGAAAAAGAAAAAGATGTTACTTCTCATTTAAAAAGTAGTATAAACAGTTTTTCTGTTATCCCAAGATTTTAAAAGTACCATTTTCAATTTTTTTCCTCCTATTCAAAAATATTAGTTTATTTAACTTTGAAGGTTAAGTTTTATGTATCTTTTGGGGATATATATATACAAAAACCACAAACAACATAGGTAGTTTTACAGTTACAAAGGTAACCAATAGAAAAGAACTTTATAAAAAATATTGACACAAACACTGAGAATAGAAAGGGTATGATATAAATAAGCAGAAAATATTTTTTCATATCCCAGAGTCAATGCTTTTTTATTGAAGTGGTAAGTAAGAAATATATAAGGTTATTACAGAGGTAAGCTACCAGAAGTTAAATCACTTAAAAGTCAAATGGTTACAAAACTCCACCTCAGTCTTTGTAGTCTCCCCACCTCTCCACACAGGACATTGTTTTGCGTTCAGCTCTGTGTTTATTCATACTGTTCTCCCTTCCCCAAAAATGGTTTCTTCCATCTAGCTATCTGGTAGGCATTCTTCCAATCTTACTGATACCCTATCATCTCAGGAAATCAATTAGTTACTTAAAGCCTATTTTTATATTTCTTCCTGGCTCTGAATTCCCAGCATAGATTATGCCATATGTGGCTTCTTTTTGTATCTCATCATATAGGCATGGCTGACTGAATTACTGGCCTTTGGACATAGAACTCAAGCTCCAGGCCCAGTCCCTTCCCCAGAGGTGGTGGGGTGAGGGGCTGGAAGTTCCGACCTCCCCTTAATGGTTGACTTCCCCAGCAACCAGTTCCCACTCTCACAACTTTCAAAAAACCACCTTGTGAACAAAGCAAAAGACAGCTTTATCACTCATAGCACTTAGAAAATTCCAAGAGCTTTTGAAAGCTGAAAGCCAGGAACTGTGAATGAAGACCAAACATGTATGAGAAAAATATACTTTTCTCATCTCATTCAGGTGACCAAAATATGTATTTCCTACAAATCATAATATCAGTCTTTCACATATAGCTCAGGAAAATATTCTTCCATTTCATTCTGTACAGTTTCATTCATAAACAGTACAATATCATTTACATCAACATATGATTTATGCAGCACTGGTGTCTGGCAGGAGAAAGGCTGTATAAAGAAGAAATGTGTCTGTATTTCCCATTGTTTCTTGGCAAGACTATCTCATCATGATAAAGTTAGTGCTCAAATAGGCAGTAATTACACTGTTCATTAAGAGTAGCTTGGAAATGATCTTTAAAATATCAAATTTAGGGCCTCCCCGGTGGCGCAGTGGTTGAGCGCTGGGTTGCGAAGCTGCCCACGGCTTCTGCAGCGCCAGTTCGATCCCCGGCTGCTCCCCGGCCACCGGAGGAGGGTCCCACATGGCACAACAGACCTCTCCTGCCGCCCGCTGCTCCCCTCAGCAGTGTACTTCGGTCCTTCTGCCTGCTCTGCTCTCTGCTCTGACTCTGGTGAATTCTCTCAGCCTCCCGTGCTTCTGACTATACCCAGTGCTTGTATACATAAATAAATAAATAAATAAATCTTTTAAAAAAAAATCAAATTCAGCCTTAACACCTTTATTGCTATTATACACTTAGTAAGCCAAATGTGACCAAGACAGCTTATATCTGTTCTTGAATTTCAGAATAAAGTCATTTAACTGTTACTCTGCTCAAAATGCCTTCTCTGATAAATTTCTGATTAGTAAGCAATAAACAAGTGACCAGCAATAAGCAAGGTTAAGAAAGTATTAGGGGGAACTCTTGGAATTAATGATTTATTTCTTAATATTAATAAATTTTAACAATTATTACAATAAATTAAATTAAAACTACAGAGAGGAGACAGTAATTTTTAGAGTCAAATATTAGTCTAAGTTTTCACTCTACTTTTCATGAGCTAATTGAGTAAATTACGTAAACTGTATAGATATTTTCTCCCTATCTGTAAATAGAGCTAATGTATCCAACTACTAAGGTCATTTAAGAAATTAACTATCATTTTGTATAAATTGACACACGAAATTTTAAATATTGTGAAGTAAACCTGTATAGTTGGCTACACTGATGCACAGTTGCTCAATAAAATGTCAATTATTACTTTATGAGTATCTGAGCAATTAAGAACAAATTACTAAAAAGTTACATAGTACTACCCTACAGTCAATTCTTGATCAGTGACTGACTACAGAGAGTTAAATACAATTACAGCAATTCATTTTTAGTTTTGAAATAAAATTAATTTGCAGGAAATTAACCATGTCCAAGTGAAACCTTCTAAACAATAACTAATTGACTATGTTCAAATCAATATTTTAAGGTTAAGTACAACTTAAGAAAATGTTATAGTCCAAACAATTATCAGAATGCATAATGGGGTCCATGATACCTGGTATCTGTACAATGCCTGGCGTGTAGTCTACATAACCCACTTAAGATTATTCCAGAGTAGCAGCTGTTCAATGCTAGAAAATTAACCCAAAGTAATAAAGGAGCACAGTTGAGAAATAACTGTAATAGAAAATCAGAAATCTCTGTCTTTGGAAAATCATATAAGTTTCTCATGACTTAAAAAAAAAAACAAAATTAACTTTGTATAGGTACAGAATGTTAACTATTGATAGATTTACTGTGGTGATTATTTTGCAATATATAAAAACAGTTAATCATATTGTATAGCTGTAGATATTGTCAATTCCATTTTTAAAAAGTCTAATTTGGTGATTTAGTTAATCGTCCTTCTACTTTCATACATTAAGTGCCAGCAACTTAAATTCTAGAGTTACCTTACCTTTCTTCTCTTTATTAAAAAAAAAAATTAAAAAGTGTTTGATTTTTAGCATCTTCAATTTTATTAAATGTAGTTCATGCAATGATAAAAACAAGCTCTAATGGACACCTTAAAGACAATTGTGAAACATTTTAAAGACACAGATCTCAAATTCTCCATGAAACAAATGAACATACGGTGTGTCTGCTCTTTCCTAAATGAACGGTAACTTCAGGATGAGCAGCAACTAACATGATTCCAGCAACACTAAGACTTTGTTCGCACTAGGTCCTCTTTCTGATTTTGACTGCCTGGGATCGTTCTTAAAATGTTGTTACTCAGTTTTTGAGTTTCAATTTGTTTCTTCTCCCTCCCAAAATTAAATTTAAGTGATGTAGTAATCTAGTAATACTTTAATGTCATTTCCTTCAAGCTTTAAAATCTGTAAAAAAAAAATCACTGGAACACTTGTTTTCGAAAATTAATGTCTTTCACACAGAAATTAAGCAAGGATTTGATAAGCTTAACTGTAGAATAATCTCATCAGATACTCTAAAATATGGGATAAAAATCTCTCCCTTCTCTCTATCCCCTCTGCCAGGCTGACATTAAAGACAATAAAGTCTCAAGTACAAAGACGAAAACATCAAATCTAAAAGCCTGGAGACCAAGACAGGTGAGATGAAGCTGAGTGCTGATCTCAGCTTCTCCAAAACTTGCATCAATAATCTGACAGAATACAATTTAAACGTGAACTAGGAAAAGCGCAAACAGCATTGTTATGTTAATTTGGGGACCCGCCGACCATCCACCCTATAAGGTGGTGAAGGCTGAAAGCCCTGAAGCTAAAGGAGCCCGCTTTTTGCCCTACAAAGTGTAGCGGTGAAAGGGCAGCGACCAATTTCCTGGGACTTAACCTCAAGTTCCCCAAATCATCCGGATCCCAAGGCCAAGGGATAAAGCAAGCCGCCTCGCCCATTGTGGCCCGAGCTGCCCACCCCCCCCGCCCCCTCGAGACCAGCTGGCCCATCCCCTCGCGCCGGGGGCCAGGCCCCTCCTACTTCGGACCAGGCCCCCGCCCGGCCGGTCCCCAGCGCGGGTGGGATCGGCGGGGCTCTCCTCGCTCCCCGCTCCGCCGCGTAAGACTCGGGCCCGCGGCGAGCAGTTCTCCTATTCCCCGCTACCTTGGTGGTGCGGATGTGCTCCATCCCGAGACGTCAGTCAACAACTCGCCCGCCAGCGCACCGAAAAGCCACCCAGCGGAACTAACGCGGCCCGCCAGCTCCGGGGTCAGTCGGCCCGCCCCCGGCAGCGTCAGCCGCGCAGGCGCAGTCGGCCAGCGCCGTCTCCTAGAAACACTTCCCCAAACCAGGCAGCCGCTGGTAGCGTGCGCGGGCGCGTGAGACAGCGTCAGCCAAGGGAGAGCAGAGTCTGATTTATTCCCCGGCTGTCGTGGATCCCACAGCGCCCCCTACTTGTGGAGGGAGGATAAGCTCACCAAACCCTGAAGGAAGGTTCTGTTGGACGGTTGTCCTTGGAAACAGGAATGATTTATGAATCTGGAGGAGACCGTCCTCCTCTCACGAATGGCTTCTGTGGACATGGTTGTGTAAAGAGAATTTGGTAGACGGGGTGAGACAAGATCTCACTGAAGTTCATCACCCTACTGATTAAAAAAACACCAAATTTCAATACTTTTCTCTTTAGTTTGAGCTGCAGTTTAATAAGCAAGTATTTATTCTTAGGGAAAAATTAGACATAGCTAGTGTAGCTTTATTTGAAACAATCCAAACCTTCAGACATCTTTACAGAAACATCATCCAAAGCAGTGATAGTGAAGGCAAAGATAAACAGCTGGGACTACATCAAATTAAAGAGCTTCTGCACAGCAAAAGAGACAATAACAAAAATGAAGAGAAACCCCACCAACTGGGAGAACATTTTTGCACACAACACTAATGATAAAGGACTGATCACAAAAATCTGCAAAGAGCTGAGGAGACTCAACAAAAACAAAGAAAATAATCCAGTCAAAAAATGGGCAGAAGAGGTAAAAAGAAACTTCTCCAAAGAGGAAATGCAAATGGCCAACAGGCATATGAAAAATGTTCAACATCACTTGTAATCAGGTTAATTCTATTTAATTCCCTCTTAAGTGATTATAAATGAAGTTATTTTCTTAATTTCTCTTGCTTCTTGTTTGCTGTTGTATATAAAAAGCTATGGATTTTTGTACATTGATTTTGAAACCTGCCATTTTGCTTTATTCATTTATTGTTTCTAATAACTTTTTGAGGTTTTTAGGATCTTCTTTACATAGTAAAGAAATATCTCTGCAAATAGTGATAGTTTTACTGCTTGCTTTCCTAGTTGGATTCCCTTTATTTCCTGAGTTTGTCTGAATGCTCTGACTAAAATCTTTTATATTAAGGTAATAGAAGAGGTGACAATAGGCAATAGGCTTTCAGCTTTTCACCACTGAGTATTACATTGGCTGTTATTATAATGATTTTTTAATGTAAAGTGTTTATGTCCATACAATATTAGTACTGTCATTCATTAAAAAAATATTTGTTAGGTTCGAACAACGAGAAAATGCTGAAAAAACTGAAAAAAAAAAACTTTTTGTAGATACAAAAAAGTTAGTCTTAAAGCAAATCACTGCCTTCAAAATTAGAGACAGGGATAACTTACAGGAGCAGAAACACACAGCCAGCAGCATCCTGGGATCCAATGGCATCCAGTTCTCTAACGCAGCACATCATGTTTGACCATCCAGAAAAAATTAAAGACATACTAAAAGGGAAAAAAAAGACAGTTTGAAGAGACAGAGGAAGCATCAAAACTAGACTCAGATATGGTAGAAATGTTGGGATTATCAGACTGGGCATTTAAAACAATTATTAATATACTAAGGACTCAAAGAGATAAAAGTAGGTAACATGCAAGAACAGATGGGCAATTTGAGCAGAGAGGTGTAAATCTCAAGAATCAAAAGTAAATGACAGAGATTTGATAAACATTGCGACAAACATGGAAAATGACTGATGAACTTAGCAGGCAGGACATGACTGAGGAATCCCTTTCTCAACAGAGACCTCCAAAACTGAAAAATGAAGAGAAAAAAGTCTGGGGATTGGGAGGAACAGACTATCCAAGAATTGTGGGGCAAATACAAATACATTTAATGGAAATATCTGAAGTAGAAAAGAGAGAACAGAAATAAATATTTGAAAAAAATAAAGACTGAGGAATTTCCTTTAAATTAATGTCATACACCAAACAACAGATTCAGAAAGCCCAGAGAACTTCAGGATAGAATAAATTCCAGAAAACTACATATCATTCTGAAACTACAAAAAATTAAAGATTAAGAAAAAATTCTTGAAGAGCAGGTAAAGGGGTGGGGTGTGTGTGTGTGTGTGTGTGTGTCCCTGCACGTAACAGATTAAGTGGCATACCTAAAGAAAAAAACAGGACCCTCAAAAGGGGAGTTGATCAGCAATGAGACCTACATCAGGGATATTTAATATATCCCTGTAAAAATCCCAGAAACACTACTATCTTGATTTGCAGTTGGTATATCCCAATAGAGTTTACAGATGCATCAGGATTTTGGCTGAATGACAACAGCCTCTTATCATTTAGCTCTTATTCCCTCGTACTGAATTCATGCTAACAAAGCAAATGTTCAACTGTAGTGTCTGCTTAGCTTTAAAGAGAATATGCTGACTCTCATTCCTGTCTGCTTTAGACGTCTTTTTTTCATGGTTGATGACTAAGTGGTATTTTGATGTTCACCAATATAATTAACCCTAAAAAAGATCTTTTTTGGGCTGGATGGTTTTCCCTTATGTTATCTTGTTCCTCTACTGAAACTGTAGTTGTATTAAATGTTTGTCTGTATGTGTGTGTGTGTGTGTGTGTGTGTGTGTGTGTATGTAAGAGTTGAGATCAGAACAGCAGAAATACTTATTCTGATTATCTTTATTGTAGCCCAACATTGTATGGAAAGTATTTAGGATAAATTAGTGCACATTGAAATCCTTTTAGGCTAGACGATATGTTTTTAGAACATTAGTAAGAATAAAAAGAAATCTCAACAAACAAACCTCTTTTCCTTTCTGGCATCTCTTTATTTCCCTTGAGTGAACCTACTCTTTTGTAGAACCCCCAAACCTGCCTGCTTTAAATAGGTTCTGCCATACACCACACGAAGACAAAATATACTCTACTGCCTAAGACCTTCAATGGAAAGGAACTTTAATACAATTAGTGTGCGATACAGAAAAGGGAAAGAATAAAGTTTCCAAATCAAGCACCCAAAGTTACCCATCTCCTCTGGGTCACTGACCAGCCAAACAGGGTTGGCCCCAAACAGGACCACTGCGGCCTAAAAGCCTGTCACAAGTTTAAGGCACCTTCTGGTGGGGACCCATAGGAAAGGGGCAGAAGGAGCACAGCATGTGTGGGACAAAAGAAGCAAAATCAAGATAACGGTTGTCATTATTAACCACCCAAAGGGTCTCTCATCCACTTCTCTTTCTACCAATCTAGGGCCAAGAAGCAAGTGCAGTTTCTTTACATATCTCTCTGCTTCATGTGCCTCCTTCAGCTCTCCTTCTGGGTTCCCATCCTTCTTCCTACCTTCTAGTTTCCTCTAACTTCCTCTTCTCCCTGCTCAGCTCGACCCTCCCTTCCATGGGTCAGGAAACCTGGAACCTCCCCTTTTCCTAGGAACCAACTAAGTTTGTATCCAGAAACTACACTGTTTTTTTTTTTTTTTCAGTTTTGAGAAATAATTGATAAAAATCACTGTATATGTTAGAAAGTCATCTCCATAAAAAGGGAGATAGCATGTTCCCTGTCCCACTTACCTATGGGAAGAATCAAATGGCCAGGTGAAGCTATTAATATATAACATGTAAGGTAGGTATGCTCTGGGTAAGAAGAAAAGAAGGAAGAAGGAAGAAGAGAGCTCTAATTCCTCTGGCCCAACTTGTACCTTGGTACTGCTGGGAAGGAAACATGGAAGGAGGCACTGGAGGAGAGCCAGGGAGCAACCCACATGGTGAAGCAGACCTCTCCTGCCTCGCCCGCTGCTCACCTCAGCAGTGTATTTCATCAGTCTGCCTGTTCTGTTCCCCACTCTGTCTCTGGTGAATCCTCTAACCCCCTCCCACTCCTCTGGCCTGTACCACAATTCTTGCATGCATAAATAAATAAATCTTTTTAAAAAAGAGGTTGTCTTTGCTCTTTTGTGCATGTATCACCGGACCCCTTTAGAGAATGTAAGTTTGGGGGAACAGAGGAAGCCTATTTAGATATTTTAATGCAAATCCAAATTAAAAGTTTTTTTTAAGATTTATTTATTTATGTATACAAGAGCTGGGGTACAGGCCAGAGATGCGGGGGGTGAGAGGATTCACCAGAGCCAGAGTGCGAAACAGTACAGGCAGACTGACTGAAATACACTGCTAAGGGGAGCAGCGGGCGAGACAGGAGAGGTTTGCTTCGCCATGTGAGTTGCTCGCTGGCTGTCCAGGGATCGAACTCGTGCTGCAGAGGCTACGGATTGCTTCATAGTGTGGTGCTTAACCCCTTGCACCACGAGGGAGGCCCCAAATTAAGAGTTTTTTTAAACTTTCAGATAATTCAGTCTGATTATGAATTAACAATGCCAGCAGCCATTCAATAAATCAGGAGTTTAACAGAAGTCTAACAAAATAAAAATCAAGGAGAAGCAAAGTGTCTTGCTATAGAATTTAGAATCAGAATCCCTTGCTTCATCCTTGGAAAATAATAATTCACATAGAATTTACACATCAGTCCAGGTCCCATAATATCAAAGAACAATATTTAGAACATTCTTTGGAACAGGATGTTACTCTAACCAGGTAAGGAAGTTTAGGAATTTGGATAGACTGGCTGGATAGACTTCAGGTTTAAGTAGGCATGAAATTATGTTACTGCCATTTTACTGTCAACATTTTAATTGACTAACCTTAGTTATCCGTTTAAGTTATTAGCTTATAAAAACTGCTTTCTTTGGAATTTTGTTCTTTTTAGAACATGAGAATGTGAAGTTTATTTTATGTCCTTTTGTTAATAGGGCAAACAGAAAGTGGTATATAAGGTGAGAAAGGGATACAGTCTTATCCTTAGTATATCTTAGAGGCATGTGATAGATCATAATATTGTTCATCAAATATTCAAGTTTCCATCTCTGTAGTGGTCCTTTCTGTGGGATTTTGGGTACATTTATTACTACAGCAATACTTAAAATACTCTACCAAATACAAGATTGAAAAGCCATACTAAAACTTCTATAAAATGGAATGTCTTATCAATTTGAGTGATTCCCCCAAAACTCATTCTTTTACTTCTCAGATTTTCCTATATTTTTCTTTACTTTCCTATATAAACTGTTTATTTTAAAAACTGTTTACAGAATTACTGTAACAGAGTTCCTATAAACTCCACGCTCATGTTCACCTATCATAAACATTTTACATTGTTCCTTACTATATTTTTATATGCTTTCTATCTTACACATCTTATTAATCAATTAATTAATGAATATATATTTAAATGTCAGGCATTCTGTGCTTACCAATTTTATGTCAGTATTCTTTAAAAGTTTTAGAAAGCACACAATAAAATTTCAAAGTGTAGCGAGTTGCTCTCTTTCCACAAAAATCACCTGGACCTCTTTTTTTCCAGTTAAAAGAACCTTAGATTTTATATCCTCAGTTCTCTTATTAACCATCCTACAGTTATCACTGATAATAGCATTCTCTAGATCTCTGAAGCTCTAAAACTCATAAATATTTTTTCTCCTCCGTTCAACCACCATGAATTTTTCCTTTATACTAAATTCAAATCTCTCTTTACTTTTTTATCATTTCTGTTGTGACTGTTATTTTAAATGTTATTTAATTTTTAAATTATACACATGTATTAGTCTGCTCATGTTGCCATGATAAAATACCACATACTGCATGGCATAAATAACAGAAATTTATTTCTCAGTCCACACAGAGACTCAAGTCTAAGATCAACGTGCCCATGGGCTTTCTTCCTGGCCTGCAGAAGGCTGCCTTGTGGCTGTGTCCTCACAGGTGGAAAAACGAGAGGGGGTTCTCACTCTTTTTTTATCAGGCAACTAATGCCACCCTCATAGTCACATTTAAATCTAGTTAGCCCCCTCAAAGTCCATCTCCAAGTAAAACAGGGAGTCAGAATTTCAATATATGAATTGTGGGTTGCAAAGCCCAAGCTGAATGCAGGAGAACCTGCTTGCATTAAATGGTGACGGGGGATGTTGAAGTTAGAAATATTGGTCATAAGGACATTGCGTACCAGACTATAGAGCCACTGGGTGTTTGAACAAGGCGTTGTCTGTTCAAAATTTTACTTTAAGAGATCAAATTTGGTATTTGCTTAGGGGATGAATTTTATTGAACAGCAGTTTTGCAGCAGTAATGTAACAATCACTAATGGAAAAAATAAAGACCTACATTATGATGGCTGCACCTCAATGCACCACCACCAGGAAGCCTTTCTTGTTCTTGATGCCAGAGGGGAATCTTTTTTAAACCCACATTTTTCTGTTTAAGGGTTGCTCTTGGAACCTTTACATTTCGCCTTATAGTGTACTTGTTTCTGTATTTTTCTTACCTCTTCCATTTTGCTCTTCCAATAGTGGGTAGCAGAGGCAGCAGTCCAGACAGGACCCCACAGGCTCAGCCCCAGGTCCCACACTCTTACCCAGCAGGACACGCTGCCACTATTTGTGCATTTGACAACATCTACTCCCACACTCAAGGTGATTAGCTCTGTTTGCTCATCACCACAGGGATGGTTACCCCAATTTGGAAAGGGCACTCTTCTGAGCCCCCGTGGGGTCAGGCTTCCAATGACCTCGCCAAAAAGGCTCCACCAGCTGTGGGGCGCTCACGTCCTTGAAGGTGGTACTCACGTCCTTTAACAGATGATGAAATTATTGATTACTGAACCATCAGGAAGTAGAGGCGCTCCCCCCGTTCTTCTCCGGGAAAACCGAAATCGCTTTTTTTGTTTTGTTTTGTTTTTGTTTTGTTTTTGGTAAGAGGAGCGTGGAATGCATAATAGGTCCTCCCCAACACTGGGATTCTGCAGATCCTTTGGATAATATAAAGAAAACAGACAATATTTCAGATTCAACAGTCATAAAGTACAAATAACATCACCACGGTTGCCAAAATATAACCGTGAGGCACAAATGGCTCGACCAGGTCTTTCTTAAACAACAAGCGGGCACCTCCCCTTAGAGCAGTGGGCGGAGCGTCACGCCCGCCCCGTCCCAGGGTACCTTCAGGGCGCACCGGCCCCACCCCTTTCCCAGGGTTCCTGGCGCGACGGGCTCGCTCCCGGCCGGCTACGTGCGCGTGCGCGAGCAAGCGCCGGAACGTGTTCTCGCGTGGTTGTTCCACCCCCTTTGGCCTTGTCTTCGCGGCCCCCGGAGCTTGAAGTTCCCGCCAGGTGCGGGCCGGACAACCGCGATGCTGCCCCGCGCTCTTGCGCTTTGAGACGGAAGAACCGTCCCAGGCCCGTTTCAGGTCGCTGTCGGCGCTGAGCTCCGGGCAGCCATGTCCACGGGCTTCTCCTTCGGGACCAGCACGCTGGGCTCCACCACTGTGGCCGCCGGCGGGACCGGCACGGGCGGCGGTTTTTCTTTCGGGACCGGGACGTCCAGGTAACTGCGCTTCCTTGCCTCACCGCTCGGGTTCTGGCCACTTGGCTCCCAAGGGGTCGTCCGCCCGCCCTTTCCCCCGCTCGTTTCTTTCCAGGTGGACCTGGAGAAAAATATTTGCCCAGCGCCAGCTTCGTAGGCCTCCCGGTCGCTACCCTGGTCGCTGCCCTGCCCCGGCCCTCACGGCGGCCTGGTTGGGAGGAGGCCGGAAGGTCTGTGTTTTGAGGTTTCCAGAATTCACGATGGTTTAGGTATTGTTCCTACCGAGTGAGGTCTGACTGGGTGAGAGGGCCAGGGAGTTCACTCCCGAGTCCTTAAACGCAGAATGAATGTTAAAAGAACGAATGAAATTGTAGCTTACTTGTGGAGTTGGTGTTTTTTGTTTTTGAATTTTGGTCATAATTTTTTTAATATATTTTATTTTATATAATTCTTACATCATTTTTCATTTCTGCACAATGTATGCATTTGCATTTTGGTTCTATTCCCCATACAATTCCCAGCCCCCTTATTTTGACCCTAATCCTCCCCCCACCCCCCTGTGTGTCTCTGGTTTATAGTTGCTTGTTGATTTATATACACATTGGAATATTACTCAGCAATCAAAAAAGATAAACTCATGCAATTTGCAGTAACATGGATGAAGTTGGACGGGATCATGCTCGGCGAAATGAGTCAGAAAGAAAAAGAAAAATACGGGATGGTCGCACTCATAGCAGGAATTTAGAAAACCTAAATAAGGGACCAGGAAAAAGACTAATTATAATAAAAAATCAAAATCAACAAGCAACTTGTGGAGTTTTTTTTTTTTTTTTTTTAAAGACAATTACTATAAAATTTCAAGAAGGGCAGTTGAGTGTTTCTCCCTCAATAGTTAAGATTGCATTGCAGGATATACCGTGCTTTAATATCATGGTTGTCTTAAAAGAACTTTCAAGTCTTTGTTCCTCGTGGGGCAAATTTAAATACCTTTTATAGCATTTATTGGTGGAAATTTTGAAGTTTGTGAATTATTGTATCATAGGTGAGAATGTTGTATTGTAATGACTCCTATTGTCTTTTATTTAAGTTGGAAAATGTAGGTAGCATATTCATCTTTTTTTTTTTTTGGTGTAACTTTCACTATACCATCACTTAAAATGGTCACAGAAATACAGCTCCAGAGAGAGGCAGTTAAATAGTGAAAGGTTATTTTAACCATGAGAGATTTAATCTTTAGAACTTAATCTTTTGAAGATAAAGGTGGAGTTCATTAAATCAAGAAGTTTGCACAGAATTAGTTAGGTACAAGATACCCCCTGAGGCTTGAAGGTTTATAGTTGTAGATTTAAAAGGTAAAAATACCTTCAGTATTATCTGTATTTTAAAAAGGTGGTGGTGGTGGGAACTACAGACTATACAGTCAAATCAGAAGTCTGGGAGTTTTCCTTAATACTTATTTTTTCTCATTCTGTGCTCTAATCAGCAAGGCCTAATCATTTTAATTCTGTAATTTCCATTGTCTTCATTTCAATATCACCACCCTGTTCTATGCTCTTACTATTCATAGAACAAATGTTTACTGAACACAGTTCAATTTCGTTAACACTGTTTTAGGTGGTAAGAGTCCTCTCCTGAAGTTAACATACTTAAGAATAATCTTACAGTTCTTCCAGGTTTTCAACTAGTGACCTTCCTCTTGTTGGGTGAAACAGCTCCCTCATCCTACTTAAATTAGTGCATTGGAGTTCTAATTACTGTCCCCAAAATGTACTTTTATGTCAGTTTTTTTTTAACAGATTGTATAGCCAAAGCAGTTTTTTAAATTCCTATCCCTCGCTTCAGTGATTTTCCACTATCATTGGAATAAATTAAAAAGAAAAATAAATTTTAACCATGATCTGCAAGACCAGAATAATTTGCAGTCTCTTCAGACTCATCCTGAACCTATCATCTCATTTCAGTTTGCTTCAATTCTGTGATCCAGACCTGCTATTAAAAAAAGTTATGTTACTACCCTTCACTGACATAAAAATAACTAAAACAAAGTTTCAAAGAAAGATACTCTTACTTCATGTGATATCGATACTTTCTGTTCTTTCATTTCACTTTTTAGAAATGCTGGTGATGTTTACGCTTTTCTAATGGGTCTTGATTTTAATTTGAAAAACTAAGCAATCGGAGGCTTTCCTCAGGTGGCCTTAACCAAATAACTTCCCATTTTAGGGCAGTTCCCTCCTAAACAATTTTTCTTTTTTTTTAAGAGAAGAATGAAGAAGGCAGATAACATCTTTTTTTTTTTTTTTTTTAAAGATTTCTTTATTTATTTCATACAAGCACTGGATACAGTCAGAAGCACAGGAGGGTGAGAGAATTCACCAGAGCAAGAGCAGGGAGCTGAACAGGCAGAAGGACTGAAGTACACTGCTGAGGGGAGCAGCCGGCGGCAGGAGACTGCGCGCCATGTAGGACCCTCCTCCGGTGGCCGGGGAGCGGCCGGGGGGCGCTGCAGAGGCTGCCTGGCCGCTTCACAACCCAGCGCTCAACTGCTGCGCCACCGGGGAGGCCCGCTGAACAATTTTTCTACCACCTTCCATGTGCCTACTTTTGGGACCATGCCTCCTTTCTCAGAGAGGCCTTTTGTGATGTCAGTCTAGAGGAATTTTCCATACTCAGAATATCCTGAACTATAGCATTTAACACAGTTGTAATTAGTTCATTATATGTTTTTTGTTGACTCGTCTGGTCCCAGAAATAGGATCTAAACTCGATGATGGTGAAGACATTTTCATACCATTCTTCCAGTAGACACAATGCCTAGAACTCCATACATACTTATTGAATGAAAGTATTCATCTTTTTCTCACAGACAGGAAACATCCTGAGGACAGGGTTTGTATCTTATTTACCACTCTATCTTCAGTTATTGTGACAACAGTGCTTGCAATATAAGGCTTTAATAGTTTGCCACATGATTGAATAAAGGAAGTATTAGTAATCAAGTAGAAAAATTTATACAGACTTCAGAATGACTTGTATAAATTAATAAAAAGAGAGTTTAATATCTGTCTGTTAGAGCATTGGTTTGGAGACCTGACTGCCCTAAATACTACGTGGTGTCTTTAGGTAAATGATTTATGGGCAGTTATTCTGCAAGCCTCAGTTCCCACATCTGGGAAAAGGAGTGTAATATATTTATCTCAAGAAGTTGTTTAATTAGATAAAGCATGTATTTAGCATTGCATCCAGCACTTGACAAATTCTTCATAAATATTAGCCATTATGTTTGCTCCTAAGTCCACAATAAGACAATGGAGGGAAGTTAAAGTAACATTCTGGCCTGCTGTAATCAATGTAACTTTTCTTTCTTTTCTTTTTTTTATTTAAACATAAGAATTTTTTTTAAAGATTTATTATACAAGAACTAGGGTAGGGAAGGTGAGAGGATTCACGAGAGACAGAGCAGGAAACAACAGGCCGACTGACTGAAATACACTGCTGAGGGGAGCAACGGATGAGACAGGAGAGGTCTGTTTGCGGTCTGGGAGCTGGCTTGCTGGCCTGGATGGAACAGGCACTGCAGAGGCTGCAGACAGCTTCACAGCGCTGCACTCAACTGCCTGCACCACTAGGGGAGGCCCATCAATGTAACTTTTCTGTAACACAACTTACTGAGTTTTTGCTGGTAATTCTGGGTTCGGGTAATAATTGATCAGACCTGAATTTGCTTTTGTTTTTGTTAAAATTTCTCTGACACAGAGAAATTTCTCTTTTGCTTCTTTGGTAGAGTAAGAAGATTCCACTTTAAGTATTTCTTTAGTACAGTTTTTAACTTTAGTTATGAAATACTTAATGTGTCTTCAGTTAAGAAATGTAAGTATTTTAATTCATTTGTCTAAACGTACATATTTTAGCTGGATGTCTTTTGTATATTTATGGATAACAGTAAAAACAAACGTGATCTGTGATTTGTTTGGGGACAAAGAGGGCATAATATCTCTTCTTAATTTCATGTCTTCACAATTTTCCAGTAATGTTTCTTAAATCACTTTTTAAATTCAGTCAATTAAGTGTTTAAAGATCTGTGCTTTACTTGTCAGTAAGACCTTTCCAGCCCTGCTCTGCCAACCCCTATATTTCATATATCCAAGGGTACACACATCTGCTCTTGGTCATTTTTAAAATAAGTGGTAAACTAAGACACAATTAGAATTACCATTTTTCCTATTAGTGTTGATGACTAATCTAAAGTTTTATTTCATTAATAAGCTCCTCCTCTCAATAATAATCTGGCGTACTACCTTATACATAATGTGTTTAATTGAATTTATAAACTTTCCTAATTACACAGTAGTTACATTTATTGAGGGCAAAAAATTTGCTCTGTATAATCTAATCTTTTCCAAAAATCCTGCTGAACTGTGGGTAGAGTTGGGTATACAGTTATTCCATTTTGAAAATGAGGAAATAGAGGCTTAAAAAGGCTAGGTGATATCATGCAAATATTACTGTATTAGGGAACTAGTACTGGAACCTAGCCACAACACTGCTACCTTCCCCTTAAATGAAATGACCCAGACTTTTAAACTTGAAACAAAAAACAAAACTGATACTGGGTTCTCTCACAGTGATTATGTTTATATGGAAGGGCAGGGAGAATATTAATAAACATAAATATATAGGGTTATATGTGTTATAATCTCTTAACTCTTCACAATTTTTGAAGTGTCAAATTGTCAAGATTTTTTTGGTGTGATTTCATAATTTGTTTTCACACATACACGTAACAAATTTGGGCCTCTGAGGCTTGATAAGAAATTTGAAAAATTGGGGCCTCCCTGGTAGCGCAGGTGGTTGAGGGCTGCACTGTGAAGCTGTCCGCAGCCTCTGCAGCTCTGGTTCCATCCTGGCCGGCCAGCAAGAATCCACATGGCGAAACAGACCTTTCCTGTCTCACCGGCTGCTCCCCTCAGCAGTGTATTTCGTCAGTCTGCCTGTTCTGTTCCCCGCTCTGTCTCCAGTAAATCCTTTCATCCTTCTGCGCATCTGGCCTGTACCCCAGTTCTTGTATAAAAATAAATAAATCTTAAAAAAAAAAAATTTGAAAAATTGTGAATCTTGATAGAGGGTAATTTTGTTGCACATTTTATTCTTTCCAGGATATGTCTATAATTGGTCAGAGCAGAATATATGAGATCCTGCTTATGATTACTTGGAATCAGAGATTCTAATTGCTATAGATTGTGCTTTTCTTGAGACTGGTATTGCATTTTTAAAGATTAATTTTATATGTGGATTTATTTGTAAAGAGAACAGAAAATTATTTGAATTTGGTTGGCTAGAGGTAAATTGTTACTCTTGCAACCTGTAGAGATATATTAAGATATGTTAAGTAAAAAAAAAAAATTAGTATTGGAGGGTTAATTTTCATTTTTCTTAAGTAAATACTGGCTCTAGTAGACTTTTATTTGTGTTTTTTATAAATAAGCAACCCTTCTGTGGGGCTCAATTTCGGAACTTTTGGAAGCACCGCAACCCCAGCAACTACATCTGCTCCTTCAGGTGGATTTGGAACTGGACTTTTTGGATCAAAGCCTACCACTGGGTTCACTTTAGGAGGAACAAATACAGGTAAGGTTGATTATCACACTTGCAGGGAATGGCCTTAGGATGTTTATTCTTCTCTATGTCCTTTTTATAACTCTCTCGTCATTGGTAATAGACTGAGAAAAAGGTAAATACTAAGGTGAAAAGAAATAAATGGATTTAGAATTAACTACCAGAATAGGCCTAGTCATCAACTGTGATCTACTTTAGTGTAAGGAAGGGAAACACACACACACACACACACACACACACACACGCACACCATTTAAAGAATGAAAGAAGATATTGCTCTTTATAATGAATTAAAGTAATTTAAAATTTCATATTAAAGATTTATTTATTTTTAATTTATACAATAGCTAGGGTACAGGCCAGAGGCATGGGAGGGTGAGAGGAAGCGGAGACAGAGAGGGGAGCAGAATAGGCAGACAGACAGAAAGCACTGCTGAGGGGAGCAGCGGGTGCAACAGGAGAGGTCTGCCGCACAATGTGGGAATCTTCCTGGCTGGCCAGGAATTGAACCCACACTACAGAGGCTGCGGACAGCTTCACAGTGTGGCACTCAATCTGCTGCACCACCGGGGAGGCCCTAAAATTTCATATTAGATTGTGTAATGGAGTGTTTTACCTCAGTGAAGATTAAGTCAAGTTTACCAATTTGGACATAAAGCAATTTAGCATATGTGGGACAGTCAGCCTCCTTTTTTGCTCTGATATAATTTGTATACCTAAGAGAGCTTCTTGTTTTTTTTGTATTAAAACAATTGTTTCATTGGGAAAAAAGCAAGAGGTAAAAGTTTCTGATGGACATTTCAGTAATAAAAATGTTTGCCTTCTGTAATACACATATTTTGTTATTTATAAGCTAAAGATATATTTCAGTGGAGCTACCATTTTAAAAGTTTGCAGCGTTATTTACCCTTTATTCTTTTGGTCTCTCTTATCTTTTGCATTGACCTACTAACCTGAATTAAAACACATAGAAAATGAAAACTTCAGGAATAAATATGAGACTAGCCAGTGAACTTCTTGAGACAGTTCTGTGTGCCAGTGTTTTGCTTGGAGTAGCTTTTTTTTTTTTCCCCCTTAACCTAATTTGGTCATAAGCCATAATTGTATTTTACAAATGTTCCTTAATCAAATTGCATGTAGCTTGTAATATGAAAGCCATTACCATAGGAAGAATGTTCTATTAGTTAGTGCTTATGGTGGAAGATACTGGGATATGCAGTGATGTTATTAGCAGTGTGGTCACTCCTTGAAGATGATTCCAAGTCTTGCCCTTATGACAAACATCTTCCATTGATGATTAAATTTTATTTCTCTTTCTGTCCCTAGGAATAGCAACAACTATAACTACAGGATTCACTCTGGGTAAGAATTTTTGAGGAAAGATCCCAAATCTATTGGTTTCTACTCTTCTCTTTCCTAATATTTCACAGAGCTGGGTATAGAAGAAAGCATGTAAGCAATGACTATAGTTCACTGACTTATCAAAAAACTTACAGCATTTGAATATTTAAAAATCAGTGACTGTATGGTCCTTTTTTAATTCTAGAAACTTAAATATAAAAATGACTCTTCTGGAAATTCACTTCACAATGTTTTTTCTAAATGAGTTCTTTTAGTGGAAAAGCATCAAATTAAGCCTTGGTGTAGCTAATAGTTGTGAAGCCTTAATTATATAATATCTGGCAGCTCTTAGTTATCTATAAAATGAGGGTCTTGGACTAAAAAATTTTTGGATTCCTTTCCAGCTCAAAAATGTATTTATATATAATGTTACGCCCAAGGGAATGTGAATAATTGTGTTACAACCTGCCTAGAATCTTGATGGAGTAAATAACGTGAGAGAAAATAAAAGGATTTGAAAAAGGATTTTGTTCTTTTTCCTATTTATTCTTTTATTTGAGGTAACATTGGTTTAACCCATCACTGTATATGATCCAGAGGAATAGGTTCACACCACTTCAGATGTCTGTCACCACACCCTATCCACCTCAGAGCACCCATATCCATTAACCTCAAAATTAATTAAAAATAAAAATTGAAATAAAGTGGCAGACTTTCTTCAGTTGAATGCTACTTGCCTGTTATCAACAGAAAACATGTTTGCTGCCAAAGTTTTGGACAAGATTGTCTACAGAGACACAGTTAGAACCCAAAGGTGACTTTAAAACTATACTGTGGCAGGAACTGCCAGTTGTGGTAAGAGCAATCATGAAGTATGATTACTGACTTTTTTTCTTTCAGTGCTTTCAGGAGATGCCAAAATGCAGGTCATTCATATATTTATTTAATATTTTTTGAGCAGCTACTACTTCCTAACTCTGGCCTTAAATTTTTAGTAATAGATGTTAGTGTGATGGTGCTAGCAGTGGTAAGGATGATACTGATGATGTCAGGAACTGCTGAGTGCATGAGCAAGACATTGTGAATCTGTTGTGAAGTATAGTAGTGAGTTCTTGTATAACCTGATAAATGCTCTAAAAGATGTATGAAAGGCACCGAGTAATGCAGAGGAGGAAGAAAATGGGAATTTATTTTGGGGTCATGAAATATTTTAGCTATAGGTATGGAAAATGGAAAGCTCCAATCAAAAGGATCCAGGGGAAGAGGAAAAATATTTTGTTTTCAAGGTGAGAATGGTAGGAAGAGTTAAGATTTGAGGAGCAAATTGGAGTCAGATAGCAAAGGCAAGGCAGTTAGTGCCAAGAAACTGTAGAACTAATGGCAACCTTACATCTTGGTTCTCACTGTGTATTTTATTGTTCTCTTTTTTTTGGAAGTAACATAATTCCAAGGACAGTTTGGACATTGGAAAAGATTGATAACAAACAAAATAATAATTCTTAAGAGAGAACTAAGGTTTTAAGGGTACTTGTAATCCTGGGATATCTCTGGAGTAGAATTGACAGGAGTTATGACTAATGGAATGTATAGGAGGGAGAGAAAGATGTTAAGGATGATTGCCTTTGCTAGTTTGAACAACTGAATTTCAAAAGTACACTGAGGTAAAGCTAGCCAGTGGATGTTCAGATACATGTAGATTTAGACATATGTACCAAAAGCTGAATTCTGAAAGTGGATGAGATCTTTTGGGAAGTAAAGGGACTTCAGGGATTGGAACCTTAGGGTGTGGAAAAGAAGGAACATTTTTCTACTCAGTATGAAAGAAGGATAAGTGCTGTTTTAGGTAAATCTAAGGGTAGAACTGAAATTGGATTTCACTGTTACCACATTGATTGGATTTTTTCCCCCCCTTAACTGGGCCATCTTTTTGGTATTTATGATTTGGGCCCAAATTCTGTATTTTTCTTTCTCATACATGTGCAAATGCATACATCTTTGTTAAAAGAGTAGGATCCTGGTTGAAATTGGTGTAATATATAGATAGTTATGGTGAAGTGAGATTTGTTTTTTTTTTTAAATAGGAACTCCAGCCACTACATCTGCATCTACAACAGGTTTCAGTTTAGGTTTTAATAAACCTGCAGCATCTGCCACACCTTTTGCTTTACCCATTACTTCTACCTCAGCTGGTGGTCTCACTCTTTCATCTGCTCTGACGTCGGCTCCAGCAGGTAAGGCAAAATGGAAAAAAGTTGGGTTTTATGTTAAATTTTAATTTTATTTAGAGAACATAGGTATCCACCTTTATTATCAGTTTGGGAAAACTTTTAATCATGCTACAATTTTGACCTATAAAGATTGATTTGTGTAGATCAGCATTGGGCATTAAGCAGCAAAGGTCATCTTGGAAGTTAATATCTACATTGTTTTCAAGGACCATTTTCTTTATCAGGATAAAGGATAAAGCATTTGCATAAACCTTGCCCATGTTAGAATTTATTTAATTTTAGAGGTGGACTTGGGTCAAAAACTTTTCATTACAGTCTAGAATCAGTTATCTATTACCATTCTAGTAATATCCAAAACTCTTTTGTCTGTCACTTGTTTTTGCCTTGAAGCTACTATTTCTCTTTATTCTGAAGTATAGATTTAACTTTAGTGAATAGTTTTCCCCAAAAACCAATCAGGGACGTTAGGGTTTTTTTTTTTTTAAAAGAATGCTTGGTACTTTCTATGTTTTAATTTTCATAGAAATGTTTCCTTTTGAAGGTTTACAATCTTATTTTTTATAGCATCCACAGGATTTACTCTGAACAGTTTGGGTGGAGCAGCAGCCACAACTACAACTGCATCAACAGGCCTTTCTTTAGGGGGAACCTTAGCTGGTTTGGGAGGTTCGCTTTTCCAGAGTACAAACACTGCAACATCAGGTAACTGATAGTATTTTTTCTGTGTATGTCATATTTAAATTTATTTTGACCTTTTGAGCAGATCACTTTATTTAAACTTTATGTTTTTCTTTTTATATGAAAAATGGTTTATAAAATGACGACTTGTAAATAATTGGACATCTTAGTCATATTTTAGAAATAAACTTTTCTAAATGAAGAGGAATGTACTTAAGGATCAGTTAATGTTAAAGGGAAATTTTTTAATAAATGGTAGTTGAATGTTTGGGATCATTTAGTGTCTAAATTCATCGTAAGGCAATTTGCATTTTAAGCCTTGAATCTAGGAATGACTTTCCAGTATAGATTTCAGGAGAGAATTTTAGCATGCTTTAAAAACAAGATTTTAAAACACAAATATGAAATAATTTTATTATAGTCACACTGGGCAAATTACTAAAGTTCAGCTCATCTGGCAGAGAAAACTGAATTGGTATTTTATGTCTTAGGTTTTGATTTCTCATTTCATGCTAGTTTTAAAATTAGCCTTATGTTAAGGATTTTATGGATATTCTGGATACTGGCTATAGCTAATGCCAATATAAGAAAGCCAGTGTGAGTGGCTTTCGTGGGAGTGAGAAAAGCTTGCCTCCTGTAACAATGTAATATCAAGAATTTCTGCTTAACAATTTACGTATTAGGAAAAGTTGATATATGTTGAAATGACAGATTCCCAGTAATACTTAAACTAATTTACAATGTCTGTTTAATTTCAGAAGTTTTAGTGAACATCTAATTAATATGTGTCTAACAATTCACTAGGGTGTGTTGAAGAGATGAAGGGATATGACTTGATGTTTTCTGTTCCAGAAGCTATTGTTATTTTGTGCCATCTATTCTGATATTTAATGAAGTCATCGGAAGGGAAAAAAGACATCGGTTAAGATAACATGTAGAAATTTGTAGTGTTCAGTAGCATGTTTAGTCTCTACGTAATATGTTTAGATTTGTTTCATATGATTGCCTAAATCAAGTATGAAGAAATTCTGGGATCCAACTTAAAAGCATTTGAGTACTTTGGTCAGTAAGGGAAAATTGTTATACTTTCGGTGAACTTTGTAAATGATGTTTGACTTATTTGTAGGACTTGGACAGAATGCTTTAGGCTTAACTTTGGGAACTACAGCAGCTACTTCGACTGTAGGCAATGAGGGCCTCGGTGGCATTGATTTTAGTAGCTCATCAGATAAAAAGAGTAAGTAAAGTTTATTGTAATTTTATGTCCTGATGAAGGAACTTAAATTCCTGTGTCTGGAAAATCATTAGTTATATATCCAGTAATAAAATTTTTACTTTTAAGTTTGTTTGCATTGTATTTCACAAAGGTTGTATATGTTGTAAAGATTTTATCTTTGTAGAAAACTGCAGTTTGTATATACATGTTTTATGTAGCTATCTTAAGGTATTCTTATATTTCTTTTAACTTGGGAACATGATTTTTACCTGTTCTATCTCATGTAATATATCACAAGTATTTGTGAATGTCAGTATTTGCTAAAAATATTTTAATATTGTTTAATATCAATTTTATGAGTGGGTATATCATAATTTAGTCAACCACGTCCTTTTACTAGTGTTTCTATTTCTTTTACTTTGGGAATTATCACTGTATTGGGCATCTTTATAGAGAGGGGGAACATAGTATGCTAGTTTGAGGAGCTGGACAGAATTGCCTGGGCTGAAATTCTGCCTCAACTATTTACAAGCTGTGTGACTATTCAAATTACCCTCTTTGTTTTAATTTCTTTGTCTTTAAAGTAGGAGGGGAATAACAGTACTTATTTTGTGGGGTTGGTTTGAGGATTATTATTTGTGAAACCCTAGCAGAACCAGGGACACAGTAAATGCTTTCTAGATTTATGCTTTTATTACAAAGTTTTATTTCTTCAGGGAAAATACCTAGAAATTGATCCATTGGCTTATTGGAAAAATACCTAGAAATTGATCCATGGCATATATTGTGAAGTTGCTTTCCAGAAAGGGTTTACCAATTTATTTACCCACCAACTAGTGTTAAAATGCCCTTACAACACACTCTTCCCATACTGAATATTCTTTTAAAAATTTTTGAACCCAAATTCATTTTGAAAACTTCGTATTTTGTTTCCATGTATGTGACACTTAAATGTTGTTTTGCAACATCTTTTTTCTGATAAACGTGTGTTTCAATAGAATATCATATACATGGATAGTGCTCTGAGCCTCTGACAACTGTAGAGTGAGTTAAATGGATGGAGCTGTGAAATATGCAGTGTCTAGAAAAATCAGTGTAAGAATTTTTTTAATGGACATGGGTTTTAGTATAAGAAGATACTCTTCAATGTGAATTACTGTCCTAAAAGTTGGTAAAATAATTTCAAACTTAAAAAATTTATTTCTCTTTGAGTGAAAATTGACTAATATCTAAGCATAGATTCTGTTTCTTTGTAACAACTCCATAATTACAAAAAATAGCTTTAGATATTTAGCAGATTTTTTTTTTTATTCAGTTGTATGAGGTGGGTGCCTTCCAACTACTTTTATGCCTGAGATGATTATTATTTTTCTTGTAATTGCTTTTAGATCCCACGTGAAAAAACAAATTGAGGCAAAGGAGTAAGGGAAATGTAAGGAGTTAATCTCCACCCTCCCTTTACCTCTATTTCTTCCTGTACTCCCATCACCCTCCTCTCATATTAGGCTGATCAAGAGGAATACATAGAATAAATGAACATGACTGTGTGTTTTCCTAGTAGCTATATTAGTTAGCTTGTACCTATAGTATCAGTGAGATTTAATCAGATGAGGCGTGGTAGGAAACAGCATTCTGTGAAGTGGGGATAACCTGGAGTGGCATGAGAATGACATGAGAATGCCCCTGGCCCTTTGAAGAAATGCTGGTTGGCCAGTGTGGCTGCAGTACAGAAAGATCAGATTGCAGAGATTACAAACGGCCTTTGTGCTACATTAAGGAGTTTTGTGATTATAGTGAGGACAGTTGAGATTTACTAAAGGATTTTGATCTAAATGAAGTAGTATATAGGTATTTGTAGTGAAGACATTGCAGTAGCATGTTGAGCATAAAGTTTATGATACAGCTACATTATCAGTGCTCTGTGGTCACTTGAAGTCATTTTATTTTATTTTTATTTTTTTAAAAGATTATTTATACAAGCACTGGGTACAGTCAGAAGCGCGGGAGGGTGAGAGAATTCACCAGAGCCAGAGCGGGGAACAGAACGGGTATACTGACGAAATACACTGCTGAGGGGAGCAGCGGGAATGGCAGGAGAGGTCTGTTTTGCCATGTGGGACCCTTGCCGGTGGCTGGGGATTGAACCGGCGCTACAGAGGCTGTGGGCAGCTTTGCAGCCCAGCACTCAACCGCTGCGCCACCAGGGGCGGCCCTGAAGTCATTTTCAATGACATGGAAAATGCATAACAACCTGGAGATAATTCTTTTTAAAATGTGAGTGCAGGGCCACTGGATGGCGCAGCGCGTTAAGTGCAGCACTGTGAATCTGTCTGCAACCTCTGCAGCGTGGGTTTGATCCTGGCTGGCAAGAATCCCACTTGGCGTGGTAGACCTCTCCTGTTGCTCCCGCTGCTCCCTTTTCTTGGTTCAGCTCTTTTTCAACTTTCTGGAAGAACTCCACACAAAGCCACACAATCAAACTCACGTCCAATTTTTTTGTTAAAACAGACAAAATCCCTATGGAAGTTATGCAAAAACAGACTCTGAAATAAGTAGCAAAAATTACTACCACTATTTGTATGCTGTGTTGGTATCAAGGGGAGAGAAAATGTGACAAGTTAGCTTTGCTGGGAAAAAAATTGCAACCTTTCTGCAGATCCTGGTTACTCAAAACAAAACAAAACAAAACAAAACAAAAACTTCGTGGATTCAGGACAGAATGCATAAAAAAATTTCCAGTATTATGTCAAAGAAACCTTAGTAAATGTCAGGTGTATTTCCAGGTCTATTCAGTCCTTTGTAGGAAAGTTTTTTACTCTCAACAGTTCCATCAATAGGAATCTGTTGAGACCTTTTCTCCCTAAATTTCCAGAAGCAATTTCTGTAGATGTGAAACAATTGAATTATATAATATTACAAGGTGACAATCACCCTTGACAATTTACATACATACCAGATACTACTGTTAACATTTTGTACATACCAAAGTTTTACCATTTTCCCAAGTGACAATGCTTCTCTTCCAGTTTTACTTCATTAGGTAAAAGCCAAATAGAACAAATTCATGTAATGCCTTCCCAGGAGGAAAAGGAGAAACTTTGTGGAGTGTCTCAGGAGCTCTACTGAGGTTCCACAAAATTTCCTTGCATCAGTCAAATGACAGGCTACCAAATTGGTACTTGAATTTAGATTTCTGGGAAGCTTTGCCATAAATATCAGAAAATTAACAGAAACAACAATATTCAATCTCTATGAAGGCACCGGCTTAGTTCAGTAGCACAATGTTGACAATCAAACCATAACTTTTTGTTTTTCTCATAACTGGAGACTTTTCCAACATCTATGGTCACCATGTATACCAATTTGTCGATCACTGGAGGTCAAGACGGTTAGACACAAGGACATACAGACAGACAACATATAGACACAAAGAGCTCTTTAGTTACCATTCATCACGCGTGGGATATCCCATACAACTGCAGTTTGTCTGATAGGCCAAAGTAACAATAAAAAAAAAAAACAAGCAGGAAAAAAAAAACTTCAAAGTAAAAAAAAACAAAAGTTGATAGGAAATAACAAAATCAAGATTAAAAACCTTTCCCCCCTCAGCAGTGTATTTTCTCATCCTTCTGCCTGTTCTGCTCCCTCCTCTGTCTCTGGTGAATTCTCTCACCGTCCCTCACCTCTGTCCTGTACCCCAGTGCTTGTATCAATAAATAAATCTTTAAAAAAAAATGTGAGTGCAGAAAAAGTCTAAATTGTTTAGGTGTTCTTTGTTTTGTGGGATGAAGTATTGTGTATTCTGTATTCTATATTTTCTTAAATAAGCAGGTCTTATTTTGTCATTAATTATTATTATAGTCATAAATTTTATAAAAACGGAAAGGGAAAGTAACCATTTTACTGAGGGCACTTTTTTTTTTTTTTTTTTTGGTGGGACCCTCGCCGGCAGCTGGGGAACGAACTGGCGCTGTAGAGACTGTGGGCAACCTTGCAGCCCAGCACTCAACCGCTGCACCACCAGGGGAGGCCCTGAAGGCACATGTTTAATAAGGAAAGCTATCAAATAGGTGTACTACTGAGAGAGCTGGTGATGTGCATATATTAAAAACTTTTCATTTAAAAATGTGCTGCCTTGGGCCTCCCCGGTGGTGCAGCGGTTGAGCGCTGGGTTGCGAAGCTGCCCACAGCCTATGCAGCGCTGGTTTGATCCCCGGCTGCTCCCCAGCCACTGGAGGCGGGTCCCACATGGCGCGCAGACCTCTCCTGCCGCCCGCTGCTCCCCTCAGCAGTATACTTCGGTCCTCTGCCTGCTCTGCTCCCCGCTCTGGCTCTGGTGAATTCTCTCACCCTCCTGCGCTTCTGACTGTACCCAGTGCTTGTATAAATAATAAATACAATAAATAAATAAGTCTTAAAAAAAAATATGTGCTGCCTTTGTAAAATATTTGGAGTTCAGTTAATCTGACATTTTACTATTCTGTATTGATAGGACCGTAAAAGTATTTTTTTAAAAAGATTTATTTATTTATGCATACAAGAACTGGGGTACAGGCCAGAGGTGTAGGGAGAGGTGTGAGAGAATTCACCAGAGACAGAGTGAGGAACAGAACAGGTGATTTGACTGGGGAATAGCAGGCGAGACAGGAGAGGTCTGCTGTGCCGTGTGGGTTAGCTCCCTGGCTGGAGATTGAAATTTTGCTGCAGTGGCTGCGGATAGCTTCATAGTGCTGTGACTTAATCCTTTGTGCCACCATGGAGGCCCCCTTAAAAGTGTTTTTAAGTAAACCTCTCAGTTTAGCTACTAAAAGAATACTTTTCATGAAAGATGGAGGGATTCTTGCTCTTGAAAGAAATAGATGCAGATCGGTTACATAACTTCCTTTTTTTTATGTATATAAATATGTCTCCATTACATGTTAATGTTTAGAGTTCATGATAGGCATGACAATTTCTGTGTATACCCTTGGTTTTTGTTAACTTAAAACTTGTATTTGGAATATATCGTTGCCTGTTTTTACATGAAGCTTCTTGTATTTCCTAGGTGATAAAACAGGAACAAGACCAGAGTAAGTTTACAATTTGTTTTAAAATTTTTAAATTAGAGTTTACTTATTAATTGTACACAAATTGTATGGTTGAAAGTAAATTGAGCCATGTACACACTTAGAAGAAAAATTCTCCATATGCTATGGGAAGGTTTTGAAAGCTCAAGTCTTTACTTTCTAGCTTTAAGAAATTTAACCAGGGCCTCCCCAGTGGTGCAGCGGTTGAGCACTGGGTTGTGAAGCTGCCCGCAGCCTCTGCGGCGCCGGTTCGATCCCCGCCTGCTCCCCGGCCACCGGAGCAGGGTCCCACATGGCGCGCAGACCTCTCCTGCCGCCCGCTGCTCCCCTCAGCAGTATACTTCGGTCCTTCTTCCTGCTCTGCTCCCTGCTCTGGCTCTGGTGAATTCTCTCACCCTTCTGCGCTTCTGACTGTACCCAGTGCATGTATAAACAAAACAAAACAAACAAACAAATAAATAAATAAATAAAACATGCCTCTATTAAAAAAAAAAATTTAACCAATTCTTTCTAGAAAGTGTTTTGTTTAATACTATAAATACAAATATACTGTTATATTTTTTAATTCATATTGAACAAGTCATGGAACTTTACTCTTGGAGAACCCTTTATACATAAAAATGAAAACATATATTTTTCACTTCATATATAAATTACTATGCTAGTGCTACTTATTTTGCAATGGAGAGGGAGAATAACCTCCGTATACATTATATTTAGTTTGAAGATTTTTTTTTAAATACCAGTTATATTTTCTTACCTAATTTATTTACATAAATGAAAACATTTGCAAATAAGTGATAAAGTACACACTTCAAAAACATCTGTGTATATTTTAGCCCTTTTGCATATGTGAAGAAGCTGAGAAATATACCAAGGAAATAATACCAAGGAAATAATAGCATATCTGTGACTGAAATATTAACTAATGATTTAATTACAGTATGATAAAGATAGCTTATTTCTGTATGCATTAAGCACATAATTTCCTTAAGCTATTCCTTGGACTTGTTTTGTTGAAGGACAAGTTGAAATTATAAAGGAAAATAGTTTGAGAATATCTTGAGTTTTGAAACTTTCCTTAATTCTTCAATATTTTATTTATTATTTTTAAATTTTTTTACATAATCGTTCATTTTTAAACAATATTTGCTTCCCCCCACTCCCTCAGGTATAGAACCCATAGTTTCCTTCACCAATGCATCCGTGCACCATCACATCAGTCACCTCTGCTACCCCCTCCCTCCCTCTGATCCCTCTCCCTCCTCCTCCCCTGCAGGATATCTCTGATTTTTAATTGTTTTTGCTTTGTTGTGTTTTGTACTGTTACTATTTTTTTACACTGATGTCTTATTGGGTTCCCCTATATTCCTGCTATAAGTGAAACCATGTGATATTTTTCTTTTTCCTTTTGACTTATTTCACTGGGCATAATTCCTTCTAGCTCCATCCATGTTGCTGTGAATGGCATGATTTTTTCTTTTTTGATTGATGAATAATATTCCATTGTGTATATATACCACATCATCTTGATCAGGTCATCTGTTTTAGGGCATTTAGGTTGTTTCCAGAATACTTCAGTATTTTTGAACTGAATAAATCTCAATTATGAATCTTTGAGCCAGTGGGATCTTTGTTCATTACCTCGCCCAATTTATGGCATTTTTCTGATTTTTAAACATTTAGTCAGATGCATAAAGTGTACTTACAATAATGCCAATCTTTTCAGAAAAGAAATGTCCATTTAGATGAATTGCTAAAGTTACTTTATAGGTCAAGAAATTTATTGTTCCTTACAAAGAACTTTGAACTCATCTAAGAATGCCATAAATGAGGTATGGGGAATATTTGCTTTATTATAGCTTAACATATACTGTAATAAAATTTAGTTATCAGTTTTTTATGATCTCAATGTTTTAATACCTTTGTGGCATTTATTCTTAGGGATAGTAAAGCACTGAAGGATGAAAATCTACCTCCTGTGATCTGCCAGGATGTTGAAAATCTCCAGTAAGTTAATTAATGTGAAATACTATTAGATAAATCATACTTGAAGAATGACAGAATACATTTTAGAGGGAACAGTCTTTCTTAACCCTTAGCTTGGGTTGAAATTTTAATGCTGTTAGAAATTAGAGAGAAAGAAGAATACCAGGAAATTAAAATTTTGTTACTTTCTGCGAAAAAGAACCAAAGGTGAATTTTTAGTATTTGCCTCTTAAAATATTTGGAATCTTAATTGTATGTATACTTTTTTGTCTGAAGGAAACCAAAGCTATGTTTTTGAAAAACTGAGTTTTTAAAATCTTTTTAGGAAATTTGTGAAGGAACAAAAACAGGTCCAAGAAGAAATTAGTAGAATGTCTTCAAAAGCAATGCTTAAAGTACAAGAAGATATTAAAGCTCTGAAGCAGCTTTTGTCACTGGCTGCCAGTGGATTACAGAGAAATACTATCAATATTGACAAATTGAAAATAGAAACTGCGCAGGTAAACTCACAGCCATATTATTATAGGGTTTTTTTGTTTGTTTGTTTTCAGATGGAAATACGTCTTTTTCAAATACAAAGCTAATACAGACAACCTGTAAGACACCAGATAGTTTCATACTTTTAAATTGCTATAACAAGTTTCTAATTTTTGTGGAGTGTTTACTATGTGTCAGTCAGTATTCTAAGCAGTTTATATGTATTCACTAGAGTTTTCAGAGCACTCTATAAAAACGGTAATGATGCAGATATCATCTATCATTCATGTCAAATCTCTTTATGGCATAACATAGCCTATGTATAATTATATAAAATATGTAGTTCTTTTCTGTATCAGTGAGGAAAAATGATGATGTATGGTTCACTTGTGTTTTACTTTTCACAGTTACAAAATGTGTTTTATTAATCAGGGCAGGCTAGAAATTTTCTTAAAGTTTTCCCTGATCTTTTAATAAACTTCATGTGATGCTGCCTTTTTAATGTGGCATTAACAGAGTGCTATGCTCTTTACAAATGAAATGATAATATTTTAGGTAAAACTATTAATGATGTTTATGTGCCTTTAAGTCAACTATTGAATACTTTTGTGATGTTTTAATAAAAATACATTACTAAAATAAAATAGCTATTCTAAACTATCATCATTGAAGGGAATTCAAAGACTTCATTATTGCTCTCAAATTTCTCAGTCATCTGTTGGTTAAATATGAATAAAATATTTCCTTATTTTTCCTTTCCACTTCTTTTTTCTTTATATATTATCAGATATGTTGTACCTTTGAGGAGAAAGAAAATGTTAGGCATTTAGACTGTGGAGGATGCTGAGTCTCTGATTAAAAATTTCATGAAACTATCATTTTTTTTGAGAAATAGATGAAATTATATAAATTATGTGAAAAAGATCATTAATAAAGTAATAGAGGAGGCAAATTTGAAAAAGAAATGAATGCTGTATTGATATCCATTGTAACTGGATGATTCCATTTACAAATATTTGTGGATTACCTGTTAGATACTAGACTTGTTAGTAGGTAAAAAGACAACTTCTGCCTCACTGCCAGACAGATAATGCCAAAGGTACTAAACCTCTGGTGGGGTAAATTAAAAGTCAGTGGGGTAAGTGAAATAGTAAAAGATGGGTAGAATATAAAAGGTAACTGAAGAAGAGTTGCTGAGTCAAAGAAGGCTTCCTTAAGGAGAAAAATCATTTGAATTGAGTTTAAAAAATTTATAGGACATATTAGAGACTTAGAATACTCTTTTTTCTAGTATATGGGAGCTAGTGATCTACCCACAGAGCACTGAATTGCTAATTGAAAATATTCTGACCCCTTCAGTGAAGTAGTTATCCAAAACCTTTTCTTCAAAGAAAATCTTTCGGGAAAATAGAAGCAATTGTCAAGTGAGCAATCTGGCATTGTACAGAACAAAATATTTCGGAAGCAAAATCTTTCACTCATTTTTGGTACATATTTCAAGAGTTTAAGTAGGGTGGTTAAAGTTCTTCATTTTGGGTAGGGTGACCGCCATGTGGCTTGTTGATGTGTTAATTGCTGAGTTCAGCTATCCATTTAGTGAACATTTTCAAGGCTCTTTCATGTAGAGCACTACAGAGTACTATACTTTCATAATGAAGTGATGACGGCATTTGGGACCAAAAAATTTGAAAAATATACTACGAGAGTTAAATCAAAGAGATAATATGTTGTTGGCTCAAGATACAGAACCCTAAAGGACTCAGGTGGACACTTAACCATTGCCCAGAGTAGGATACCTTTACATTGACCCTAGAAACATGCTTTAGGTCTTCTCCAGACTGGTAAGTAGGAAGGGATAGCAAGCAAAGGCATGGAGGTATGAAATGCCTGTCTGAGGAGCTATAAGCAGTTCAGTGTAGAAGTACTGGGTAGAGTATACTTGGAGAAGTAGGCAGGGGTGAGAGTTTGAATAGCCCAGGCTTTTCTAGGGCTTTTGTACTATAGTTGAGTAGGATTGAAGCCTGAGCTGAGGAATGAAACAGATTTAATTCCTTGGCAGTGAAGTGAGGGCAAGAGGTACTATAGGGAACATAAAGTTAAGGTAATAATACTTTTTTTTTTTAAATAAGCCAACTTAGAGGTTATAGAAGCAGTAAAGTGATCACTATGTAGAATGTTAGGAGATAAAACAATGTCAGTCTTAAAAAACCACCGGCTGGAAGGTAGAAATGGCACTGAGTAGCTGTACAAGGCTGTGTGTGAGCTTTAAAAGAATTGGGCTGCCTAGATTCAGTTCTCAGGTTGTTCAGCTGGGCTTGGGCATATTGTTAATGTCTCTTTAACTGCATTTCTTCATTGAATGGAGGGAAACATCATTTTATAGGGTTCTCATTGAGTATTAGTCATGATATATTAAGTCTTTAGCATAGTGCCTGGTACAGAAGTATTCCCAGAATGTCAACTACTACTGCCATCATTATTATTCCTACTAGTTTATTTTTTAGAAGTATTTTCTATATTTGTGTATTAAGGATTTTTAAATAGTAGTTTAGTCTTTCATTGTGGGTAGGTTAGCTTCAATCGTCCTGCAGAAATGCATAGATTCGTAAAATAGATCAATAGCTCATAAACTTATTACAAAGTTTGGCTTGTTAAAATGATAGTTTGTCTTTTTTGGAAAGATGTTTTAATAACTTGTAAAACAGCTTCGTTCATAGTATATTTTCTTGAACCTTGTTTTGAAGTTTCAGTTCAGAAGTAGTTGGTACGCTAGCATAATTTTCAACTGATCTTTTTGTTTTTTAAACCTCTGGTAAATTAGGAGTTAAAGAATGCTGAAATAGCCTTAAGAACCCAAAAAACACCACCTGGACTTCAACATGAAAATACAGCTCCTGCTGAGTAAGTTACTGGATTTTTTTAAGCAAATGTGTTCTCACTTTTAAAACATACAAATTAAGAATTTTTCATTTACTATGTAACATGCCTGGGTTAATAAGCACTGTACATGGATTTTAAAATTTAACTCATAATAATCCTAAGAAAGTAGTTTACTATCCTTATTTTATAGGGTAAATGAATTTGAATCTTTTATTAGTATGCAGTTACACTTCATATGCATGTTACTGACAGGATTTGTTTCACTTTATTATGTTTTATAGGCAATAGAAATTTCCATTCTACCAATAAGAACTTTTTAAATTGAAAATAATTTTCAGATAGCCTTTTCCTTAAAAAGGGCATGCTAAATATAGTTTAACTCTTAATTATTTGCATAGTTTTTTTTTTTTTTTAAAGGTTTATTTATTTATTTATACAAGCACTGGGTACAGTCAGAAGCATGGGAGGGTGAGAGAATTCACCAGAGCCAGAGTGGGGAACAGAACAGGGAGACTGGCAAAGTACACTGTTGAGGGGAGCAGCGGGCGCAGCAGGAGAGGTCTGCGTGCCATGTAGGACCCTTGCAGTGGCCGGGGATGGAAACGGCGCTGCAGAGGCTGCGGGCAGCTTCGCAGCCCAGCGCTCAACTGCAGCGCCACCGGGGAGGCACTGAATAGCTTTTATATACATAGGTAATAAATCCTGAAAAAGGAAATTTAGAAAATGTAGATACATAAAAGTAAAAAAAAGATCCAGCTCGTATATTATTGTAGTTTCTATGCACATGGTATATATTTTGTCTTTTTTGTATCTTTTCGTGCTGCTAGAGATAATACCTAACAATCATCTTAGATATTATTTACCATATGCCAAGCAATGTGCTAGCACTGTACATTCTTTATCTCATTTTTCACAAAATCCCTACAGCTTTTAACTGTTTCAGTCTTAGAGATAAAGGAACCTGAGGCATGAAAAAGTGAAATCCTGGGCTTATGAGTGGTGGAAGTCCATGTGCTGCCTGGCTCCTCACATTTTTCTTTGCTTTTAATTTCTTATTATGATTTAGTTTCAGAGTTATGGAAGAGTTTCAAGAATACAGCAAACAATACCCATGTATCTTTCCTTTAGATTCCCTACTTATTAACCTTTTTAAAGTATTTGATTTATTCTTTGCTCTCTATATGCATATGTATATCTTCCTTCCAAAACAGCTTGACTTGGTGCCCTTTATGTTTAAGTAAGTTAGCATGTATTTATTAAACAAGGATGTTCTCTTTCAAAATCACGGTACAATGATCAAATCGGAAAATTAGCCACAATACTCCTGTTAGCTTATTCAGATTAGGATGGATGTGCTTCCTTGCTATACTACTAGTACTTTATCCCTGTCTTGTTCTTCATGCTGCTGTGAGAGCTGGTTTTGAAATGGGTAAAATTTATACATGGCGATGATAGTTTTTCATCTTCATTTGTCTCCTGTGTAGCGTATATGAAATAATTGTTCTGTTAAATGAATACCACTGTGTAATTCCCAAAATATAAAGTTGCAGCTGTTTTGTTGATATTCTGAAAACTTATAGTAAATAGTTTTTTAATTAAAAAATGAAATTGGTAGAATTGTATCACCACTGCAAACAACTTTCACAGTTCTCCATTTTTTTTATAGGTTAGTGTTCATAAATGTTATTTAAGGTCCCTTTTTATCTTTTTGACACCTATTGAATAGATTAAGTCTGGGTTAAATTTATCAGAATAGTAATTAACCATTGTGTTTTCAGATTACAATATGGTGTTTCATGTCATAAATTCATATTGTAAATATAAGCATTTGTAAGTTATGGTTTATAGTTGCACTTTCTAATTTATTTCAGATTTAAACAAAACTTATAAAAATGGTGGTAGAATTTCCTTAAATCCTTCACCTGCTTCCTTTAATGTTCACATGTAAACATGGTATAGTTATCAAGAAAAAAATATTGAAATATTGCAAATACTATTAACTAAACTATAGAACTTTAAATTTTTACTGTCTTTTCCACTAATGTGCTTTTATTAAAGCTTTGGGATCTTAATCACATTGCATTTAGTTATTTTTCCTTGATTTCTTCTAATCTGTCTTTGACGATCTTAATATTTTAATGACTTAATGACGTAATATCTTTGACCTTGATCCCTTAATAGGGTTTTTCATGATTGGAATAAGAATATGCATCTATTTTTGATACATTGATAATTTATGTGTTTGGGTTGTTTTAATGAAAAGCCTGTGTGCTACTTAAAGATACGTCATCAGACTAATTCAAAGGCTCTACTTAAATGGGTGCACATTTATGTATTTTGTATTTTAAATATGAATAAAGTGATTTTTCAGAAATGTTGATTTGAGTAAATGTTTTTATGTAGCTACTTCAGAATCTTGGTTCAACAGTTTGAAGTACAGCTTCAACAGTACAGACAGCAGATTGAAGAACTAGAAAATCATCTTGCCACTCAAGCAAATAACTCACATATAACCCCTCAAGGTAATGTGTTTTTGTGGTAATTTTTTTTTTATAGCACTCATTTTGATTAGAGAGAGTTTAGCTGTAGCTATATAGTAAATGTTCTAGGTAACCACTATTAGTTGTTTTTAGCTGTGGTAAGAGTTTCCTTAAAAGTTGTTGATTGAATCTTTGTTGCCTAGAAGTATAAAATGAATTGTTAAATGAATTGTTGCTTAGAAGTATAAAGTGAATTCTTTTTATTATGAATAGTTACTATGCTAATAATGGCAGAAATCTTAACATCTCCTTTCCTCCCCAGATTACTTATTAAGATAATCTTTCTCTCAGTCGACTCACTCTGCTGTTTTTGCTTATCCATGGAAATATTGTTGTAGTTTTTCATTTCCACCTATACATTAATTACCAAAAATTGGCCTCAAGTAATAGAGAAATAAAATTGGTTGTTATATATTTGTGTGATGATATAATTTTCTTTTATAGATTTGTCAATGGCTATGCAGAAAATTTATCAGACATTTGTAGCTTTAGCTGCACAACTTCAATCAATTCATGAAAATGTAAAGGTAAGTTTTCATTACCATATCCTTTCTCTAAATATCTAAACTCTAATGAAATATTTGTTCATTCGTGGGGCAAAAGTACCTATGCTTAGTACAGAAATAGCTAAAATTACATCTAAGTGAAAAAGACTAAAACTAAAATAATAATCTGTCCATGGATAATACCTTTTTTTTTGAAAGCATTCTTGTGTCCTATATAATTTGTTCTTTTATTTATTTGCAATTAATATGAACAACTTCTCACACTTACACGTCTTCACTATCATTTTTGCTACTTCCATATGTTTTCATTATGTGTGCATTTTGCTTAATCTGTCCACTCTTGTTGGCCATTTAACTTAGTTCCATCTCTTCACTATAAACAGAATATATAATTTTATTTATGTTTTAAATGTTTTCTAGCTATTCCATTAAAAAAAAAATAACCATACTTGCTCACATTTCTCCCTTCTAAATATGGGGATTATCTCTTGGACTTTTATACAAGTCAGTTGAGATCTTTAAAATTCACAGCACTGAATTTGCATGTGAAGAAAGTGTTAACTGTAGAATAGAGTTTCATCAGAGAATCAATTGTTTTTTTCAATCTGATGCTCTGTAACAGTTTTTAACCATTTACAGTTACACCATTTTTTAAGAAATCGCATACTTCAGGACTTTTGCTTTCATAAAATGTTAACCTCTAAGCCAAGTCTTTAAAATAATTATTTTTGTTTTAAAGAAAGAATTTTAATCAAATTTTCTTGAAAAATTTTGTAATAAATATTACTTTAGGTTTTTTTAAGTGCTAAAGATGATTATCTGTTGGCATTTTAAAGTCTGTGTTGTGCAAGATTTTTTTTTTTTCCTTAATTTTTATTATGAATCTTTTCAAATATATACAGAGGAGAGCACTATTATAATGAATGTCCAGGTAGCTACCATCCAATCTCAGCCATTATCAGGATCTTGCTCATGTTCTATAAGTTCTCCAGACAGAGATGCTTTTTTCCCAGGCAGTATTTTCAAGCAGATCTCATGCTTGTCATTTGTAAATATATATGCTTTTTCAGTAGCAATTTCTCTGACTTGACAACTAGACCCTCTTTAGTAAAAGGATCATGAAACAATTGAAATTCACGGAAGACAACTCCAGATCTGTTGGATAAACTTTCCATGAAATTTTGACCTTTCTTTTCAAATATGTATTTCTAAGGACCAAAGGTTGTTCCATAATAAGATTTGCTATGTCTTTTATTTTCAGCAGCATTTAGTGAGCAAACTCTAAACTTGTTCACTTCTTATAGGAAACTCACAAGAGGTGTTATTTTTATTCCTCCAGTTTTGTTTTTTCATGAGATAATCTGTTGGAATAGACTCAAGCTCTCTGAATGACATCAAATTTGGAAGTTTTATCAATTACATATATCATGACTGATGTCAGTTTTATTTTTATTTATTTTCTTTCAGGTCTCTAAGACAGATCGTATTTCCCAGTTTCTGAAGTAGAACTAAAATTTATGGGCTATTGATGCCAAACCTTATATTGGTATGTGCATGTATTTGCACAGAAAAAGGGTGGATGGATTTGGGGTTAAACCAGTTCCAATAAGATTTTTCTGACTTCCCATGTTGTCTTACTCTGCATTTTCCCTAAGTTTCAGTTCTTGTCAGGCCTTCTTCAGTACATTATAGAGGTAGCCAAGTTTAGAACTAGAATATCTAATACTGACATCCCCACAGAGGTGACTTTCAAATACTACATCTTATAGATATAACTTTTTAACATTAAGATATCCAAGTCCTATACCTATTATAACCAGAATGCCTAAAATTTATTAATTTCTGCTAAAACTTGGTAGGAAATCCCATATCTCTTCAAAAAGGGATCTAAAACTGATATAAATTATGTCAGACCTTCAGAGAAAGTCTTTAATAATTCTTTTTTTATATTTTTTTTAAATTTTTTTTAATTTTTATTTTTTTATTTTTTTTTTATATAGAGGCATGTTTTCTTTCTTTCTTTCTTTATTTGTTTGTTTTTGTTTATACATGCACTGGGTACAGTCAGAAGCGCGGGAGGGTGAGAGAATTCACCAGAGCCAGAGCGGAGAGCAGAGCAGGCAGAAGGACCGAAGTACACTGCTGAGGGGAGCAGCGGGCGGCAGGAGAGGTCCGCGTGCCATGTGGGACCCTCCTCCGGTGGCCGGGGAGCAGCCGGGGATCGAACCGGCGCCGCAGAGGCTGCGGGCAGCTTCGCAACCCAGCGCTCAACTGCTGCGCCACCGGGGAGGCCCTCTTTAATAATTCTAATGTGAAACATTCTTTTTGACCATCTTCAAGGCAGATGTTCATGGGTAAAACAGCCCATTTTATGAACCTGATAATTTTTCTTTCTTACTCTAATTGTATACTTTTATTTTTTCATCAGCTTAGTTCTACATACTCAACATGAATCATTTTCATTATAAGAACAGTCAAACAATTCTGATAAAGTGAAAAAGACTTCTTCATACCCTTTAAGTTCTCTTGAGGTGTAATATCTTATTTTAACACGCCACCAGATACTTTTGAAAATGGTATTTAGTAGGTATGTTAGTACTGGCTCCCCCCCCACCCTTTTTAACGTCTTTGAATGTAAAGATTACCAAAAGATCCATTGGGAGGGAAAATTTCATGAAAACTGTAATATTTAATATGGAGTTTAAGATACTGCTCTGCTTACTTAAAACCTTAACTAATTCATTTTAAAGAGGGCCTTAGGAAACTAGAATATTCTAGGTAGTTTATTATAAAGACATAACTAGAATAGGGAAGAAAATATTCAGTGGAGTGATAGAACTCCCAAAGTTAGCACTTCCTGTGCCATGCATTACTAGCACCCTAGTTTGCACTTTAGGTGGAATGTATAATGTTGGCAGTGTCTTTGATATGTCTTTACTAACTTATTTCATTCATATATTACCAAAGTCAGCTCAGAACTTGATTAACCTTTTCTTTTTTTTCATCCCTTCAGGTGCTCAAAGAACAGTACCTTGGCTATAGGAAAATGTTTTTGGGAGATGCTGTAGATGTGTTTGAAGCCAGGCGAACAGAAGCCAAGAAGTGGCAGAATGCACCCAGAGTTACTACTGGACCCACCCCTTTCAGCAACATGCCAAATGCAGCAGCCGTTGCCATGGCTGCAACTCTTACACAGCAGCAACAGCCTGCTACAGGTCTGAATGCATTCAAGTTATAGCTTCTTAATGTTAAAATGCAGAATGTTTTTGTGCATTTTTATAAGTCTTCCTTTTTGTGTCAGGACTGAAGATATTTCTATGAATAGCTGTTCCCCTACAATCTAAAAATTGTGATGGACACAATTATGAGCATATACCTGAAAAATGCAGGGTAGTCTTAGCAATAATTATACATCAATTAGATATTGAACATTGTGAATTTACTTAATGTTATTTGCTGTATTGCTATTAATACCCTTTAGAACATGATATTTCACTACTGAATTACATTTAAGAATAGCAGATTCTAAAATGGTGATTGTATCATTTATTGTTTTAAAGTCAAATATTCAGCCGTATGTTGCATTTTTCCTATAAGATAATGATAGATGGTGCATTCTCGTTTCCTCATATATAGTGATTACAGAGTATCCACATTCAGGATGAAGTACATTTTTATTGACTGAAAGTATGTTGAAGACCAGTAGGGTTGTTTGTATGTGTATATTGACTGGAAACAGAGTTCAGGCCCCATAAACCAAATTTGGAAGAAGTTACATGTTAGAATTATTCATACCTTTCCAAAATGAATAGAGTAATAGCCAGAGCAGGAAAAAGATTTTGAGATGCTCTGGATTGCACATTAAGAAGTATAAACTGGGAAATTGAGTCAATGAAAGTAATTGGTAAGATACTAGAAAGCAGATAATTTTGGTCCTTGGTTTAATTCCTCTTCTAAAGAAAGAAACAGTTTTGTAGTCTAGTTCTCCAATGTTTAGTTTGTTACTGTGTCTTTTAGAGATTACTTATCTTTTTACTCCTGCAGTCCCTTTTGGTCAGATTTGAAGTTTGCTATAGAAAAATGTAACCTTAATAAATACTCATTTTTTTTTTATTAGTTACTCTGCAGCATGTATCTCTGAGAGTTGCATATAGTCTAGTATTACTATAATACAAAAAGTAAAAACCATACATATTTAGATTCTAGTCAGGCTGCCTTTACTAGGGAAGCCTTTTCTGGTTTTCACTATTGGCAGTTTAAAAAATTGTTCTTCACATTTGGAGATGACAGAATTGAATTACCATCAGTAAATGATTGATGATGGATTTATGCCAAATCCTCCACATTCCGTGGCTGGACCCATGTGAATAGTGGCTCACATAAGCACTATATAGTAATTCTCTAGCTGGCTGGAGTGTGGGATTGTGTTCTCAAGTTATGGGGGGAAGGGGGAATCATCAGTTTTGATCATCAGTTCTCATGATTATTTATCCATCTAATCAAACTAACCATAGTGCCAGTTTCTTTTTACTTTACCATATTAATCGTAGACCAAGTAAGCATGGGTTTGGTTAAGTGTTCTTTAAACATAAGAGATTTCCATTCTAATAAAACTTGAGAGAAGTCAGTTGTCTAAAATGTTACACTTTAAGTGAATCATATTCTATGGTATAAAACTTAAATGGGAGGAAAACCACTGTCAGGGGTGTTTTTTATTATCCTATATTATAGACAGTCAAGAGGTTCTGGGTTTTCACTTATACATTTTGGGCTCATGGACATAAAAAGATATATGTTTATCAATTACAGTGCCTGTGTGCTCGGTTCAGGGGATACAAAGATAAACAATAGAGATAGGGTCTTTGCTCTCTGTGGTGATAGAGAATATTTGCTTATAAAGCATAATCATTTTGAAGAGCTTTTTGCTCATAGGCTTTAATTTTGTTTATGACTTTTGCCAGACTTTGGGGAAACTGACTGCTTTCTGTGTTCCTTGCAGTTTGAAGTCCATTTAAAGTCTAATCAGGTGGTAGGAATAGTAATTGATCATCTTAAACAGTCTTACTGTTTTCATTTTGAGTTGTGTGGATTGTTGGAACTGAGAGTCTTAGCAATTTTGCATTATGTCTTCTCTTTTCCTTTTGTTTCTTTTTAAAAGTCTCCCAGGCTCCGTAGTCCACTCTTTTCATGCCTCCTGAGTCAGAATGTTAGTTTAGTCATATCACCACTGTAGTGAGATTTCTGAACTCTGTTATATGCACTGATTTTATGAGTTACAGCCTGTTTAGAAATATCCCTATTTATTGCAATGTGCTCTGTATCCAGTGATTTATTACTTTACGTCTGTGACAGATGAAATCTTTTTTGAAGTGCCAGTAACAAATTTTAAAGGCCATCAGGATGAACCTAGATAGAGCTTGTATACTGTTTTATGTGTCACTCTTGGTCTGTGCAGAATTTGAGTTGTTGGAGGGCTTTTGCTTTAATTTGCATATGAATTCTTGCCTTCATGTACAGGAGCAGATAACTTATTAGGCTGCTACTTTCTGAAGGTGGTTTCTGTGTAGTCTTTCTTGGAAATGGAGACGTGCACTTAAATAGCTTTTTGATCCATCCTCAATGTTTTTTAATGAAAAACATATATAATACAGCCTGTGTGGTTTATGGTTATTGGTTTTGAAGCCTGAAGAGATTTATGAGGAACCAACAGGCTATTTAATACATGAAATAAGCATCAATAATTGACTGTTACACATTGGTCTATCTTGAGTATACTTTTTCGTCAGTGTTTCTGAAACCTCTTAAAAAGCTTAAGACACTCAAGTTAGGCTTTTCAAGTATAATTTTTATTTAGGATAGATTATTTTAAGCTAATATACTGGGATTAAGTTTTGCTGTTGTGTTTTGACACTTAAAAGTTGTTGATGTTTACATGGTAAGAGTTTCTCATGTGACTTAGCTGCTGTTTTTAAAGGAGAGCTGAGACATTTTGTTAGAAATACCTGCTTTCTAACTTTTAGTGTAGGTTTGGACATTTAAAGTGTAGTGTTAAATAGGAAACTCTTTAAGTATTTCATTTCACTTTCTTGTGGTTTTGTGATTTTGTTGTATTTAATAACCAAAGGAACATTCCCCAATAAATCAGTAAGAGCAAAATTTTTCAAATTGGGGAAAAAGACGTTTTGTTTTTTTAAGAAAAATTATTCTTAAAATATGATTTAGGAATGACCATACTAATTACATTAGGTATTTTGAGTCATCACTGAAAATTATAAAAAATTTAGCACTTTAGTCCTTTTCCTGTAAGTGCAGTTTTACTTTTAAGAAAGTAGAATTTATTCTGGAAAATATAAATCACAGTGCTGAACTTGATTTTGTTGTGTGTGAATATATGATATGATAACTTTTGTAAAATGTTACTCTACATGAAGATTTCACTTTGGGCAATCATTGGGATATCTTACTACTAAAAAAACTTGATTTTATTTATGGAACTAAGAGCCTCTCATTGAATGACTACTCAGAATTTGAAACTGACTTCTTGAATTGTTTACGTAATTTTTGCCTGAAGGATTTAGATTCTGCTTTCTAAGTGAAACATTTATATGGTGGCCAGAGTATATAATATATGCTAATACTTTGGCATGGGAGATATTTATCATGAGTTTTTACTATTAAAAAATGTTATACATTTGCCTACTAGTTTTATAAATGATGTTGCCTTCAGAATTTGTGTGAAGGTACAAAACTCAAAATATCATGTACCTGTTGTGCAATGGAAAGTCTTGTCATTGTCAGAGTTCTTGATTACTTAGATCCTGAATATTGCTAGATAGAGTTGCTCTTAAAAACAGACCCACACACAACATAAACATGTTAGTTGAGTAACTCTCATGATTTGTAAGGCTGAGGGCTGTGGTGTGCATTATTCTTTAGGGTCTTCCACCAGCAGTGCCTCCTATTAACATGTGACACTTAAGTCTCTCAATGTTAAAGAAACTGGACATGTATTTTCTACATATTTTTGTTAGAGATAAGAAAGTAATATACTTAATTTCTTTTTCCTATAGTAACATTTTACAAAAGCTGCCGGGCAGGTATTTTATTCTCAAATTAATCTCAAACTAAATGTAAAAATGTAAATCTTTTTTAATTTATTTTTTAATACTGGTATAAGAACTCTGGTTGCTAGTATTCCTTATTCTTTATTTTTACTGGGTAGAAGCTATTTGAAAAGTCCAGTTTCTGTCCCAGTGTAGCAAAATTGTGGTTCCTCAGTTTTCCTTTTTTTTTTTAAAATGTTTTATAATTTTACACTACCTTTTGAATATACAAACCTCATTCTTCATTGAACAACTTGAAGGCTTTGATTTCTTTGAAAAATTTAAATTTCAATCTGTTCATTACTTTGGCAGTTCCCTCAACTTTGAGATGCACTGATCACTGTGTTTGAAATAGACAAGACTGAAGATTGTACTATTAAATTTATTGAATAATTTTCATAAATTATTTATCAAATGAGAGATTTTTAGATTTTGTATTCTGCTTAGTTTAAAAAAGGTAGTTAAAAAGAGAGGCTAGTAAGTTTGATGCTATTCTTGCCAAACGCACTCAGCCAAAAATCTTTAAAGTAACAAATGGGGAAAGGATGACTAATTGTTCTGCATATGAGTACATTTTCCAAAATGTTGGAAATAAACTTCTGAATTGAAATCTTGAATGTATTGAATCTGTCAAGGTACATAACGGTGCCTTTGTAAATGTTCATTATCTTACTTAATCAGGTGATAAGTGGTGTAATGTAGCAGAGCTTAACAGTAGAACTCAATTACCACTTTTTGTGAACAAGTTGGAATTGTCATGTTACTGTGTAATTGATTTGCTTTAAACTGAACAATAAATTTAATAAAATAAATCATTGTCTTGTTTTTTATCCATTTATTGTATATATCATTTATATTTCTTATAAGAAACCATGCCTAGTTTTTTGGGTACTTATTCTTATGAAGTAACATGATAGTTTTGCATGTTAGTGTCAGTCTCTTGATCAATTGAGACGACTCTAATAAGGAGCTTGTTTTAAAAAGAAAAAAATAAAAACCTTTATTGATTACACCAACTAATTTTTATCAGAAAACAAGTAGAGAGATATAAAATCATTCTAGAAGTAAAACTTTAAAAATCTATAATTACAATACATTAAAGATTTCAAATATTTAGTACGTTAAACTAACATCTTTCAGTGTGGTAAGCCTTTTAATTATTTAGTATGGAACTATTAAAATTTTTTTTCTGTTTTTGGATAAATTAGTTGGGACAGATAAATTAGACTGGGGAGACATCCTGAAAACTAAGCTTTAACAAATAGAATTTGTAAGAGTAATCACTGTTCACTTTAAAAATTATTTCATAAAGAAACTTTAATCTTGAAAGAGTAAGGCAAATTTGTTTTTTTCCCTCCATTTTTTTTTTTTTTTTTTTTTTTTTTTTTATACCAGGGCCACAGCCATCTCTGGGAGTTAGTTTTGGAACGCCATTCGGCTCAGGTATTGGCACTGGCTTGCAATCAAGTGGCTTAGGTTCTTCAAACCTTGGAGGTACACTTTAACTTTTCTAATATTGCATTGGAGTTATTATACATTTGAATTGATACAAACTGTAAAAAATTTCTAAGAGGATCTGCTATTTTGGAAGTTAAGATTCCATCTGGCAAAAGTGATTCTCTAAACATAATCAATTCTTTCTCTAGTTCTAGACTTAAAACTTAAGAAAATTTATTTTTTTGTGAGTAGTAAATTTTTTAAAGTAAAAAATTGAGGAGCAGGGTGTTCATATTTGCAAAACAATATGCTGAAATATGAACTTGAAAGTTGCTAAATTTGATAAATTTTATTAAAAATGGTAATTAATGTCAGTTTTAAGTCCAAACTATTATCTGGATATACATTCTCCTAATAACGGTCTTTTTCTGAAAATGAGCACTTTAAATGAAAAAATAATATAATTTGAACAACTTGACTCTGTCCATTCCTAAACACATATTTGGCAAATTTGCCTTTATGGATACTTGTATTTAAAAGAGCAGTTGAGCATATTTTTGTACTTTCATAGTTACTCTAGTTAATAAGGAAAGTTTTCTGCAAAAACATCATGCTAAATACAAAGGTATTCAATAGTCTGTCCTGCTGATGGATATTTGAAAGTTGATTGTATTTTGACAATCAAATGAATTAAGGTTTCCTTATTTCCACTAAGATGTATCATCAGAAGAGGGAAAGCTTGTAAGCTATTATGATTATTTCTTATTGTAGACTGTATTAGAAATTACTGGAATTATAGCAGGCATAATTTCAATGGACTATAATCTCATTTGCAATCATATTTACTGTCAAATTCAATATTTTCAATAAGTTGTTGCAAAGTAAGCTTAAAAGAGTTTGAAATTTATTTATAGAGTCCTTGACTTTTACGAGAATGGAAACAAGTCTTCAAATAATTAGCAGTGTCTCCTTATGTACTTTATATGATGAAAAATATTTAAACTCTGTAGTATTAAGAGAAAAAAACAAGACACTCCAATTCTTGAATTCTCACTGTTGCGTTGGCTGGTCTATAGCAGGAGAAGTTACTGAGTAGCTTTAAAATAATTAATCATTATATAGTTATGCAACTTTTCAGTGGTCAAAATTCTTAAGTCAAAGTGTATTATAAAAAGTAAAATTAACTTATGATACTTTGTGTTTAAATGTGCATGTCATGTGTATTAATTTAGTTGCTTTTCTTTTGCAAAATGAAATATTCCTGTTTATTACGTTTGACTAAAGTCATATTTGAATGGTCACTAAAGTTTCTAGTCCATTTGGGAGCGAAAATACTAATATAATCTTGTTTTTTATGGCCTTGTTCTTTAAGAATTTCTGGTAGGCCATAAATTTAGTCTAAATAGATATAAATGTTTCATTTCAGAATTAATCTGGTTCGTCCAAAAGTCTTATGCCAAGGAGTAAATAGCAGATTTCCTTACGGTCATATTTTTTTGCACTGTACTTATTATACCTTTTTACTTGTCAGTATCCTTTAACCTGTATTTTACATACCATTGTATATTTCTCTATTACCCTCCTACTAGGATTTGGAACTAGCTCTGGTTTTGGATGCAGCACCACAGGGGCCTCCACATTTGGATTTGGAACAACAAATAAACCCTCAGGAAGTCTTAGTGCAGGTTTGTGTGTTTCTGCCTGAATTTCAGGCAAATTTAAAGGTGCAAATTATTAAATTTAAAAATACAAGTATTGTTATTACCAGTATCCAAAAATGATCCCTGATTTACTGTCTACCCTCTGAATGAAGTATGCAAGCCTAACTAATCAGATAGCTTTATCTCCCTTAGAAGCTAAAGATCAGGTTTGCAGCTATTTCTAGGATATATTAGTTTGATAGATTAAATAATTATATTCTCTATTAACGTAAGAGATTTTTTTGAACCGCCAAAGACTAGTTTCATGGTTAAACCATTTTTATTTTTACAAAAACGAACCCAATATTGTGAAAGTGTAACTCAATTTTTATCATTATTCTTCCAGGAGAATAATTTCTGTTTCAAAAAGATGTTTATAAATCCCTCTAGTTTTAAGAATACTGGTCTTACAAATGATGATAAATTGGGTTCTTTGTTCATTCTTTAGGTATAATCTTTCACTCTTATAGTGGAAAATTCCAAATTCCATCTATGTTTGCAATTTTTTCTATATTTGTAAATAATGGTTGTTTTATTATGCAATACATATGAATAAGTAGCATGTCTAAAATAATGATGTAATACTAATTAGATGACGTTTAAAGTGATGGAATTTGAAGGAAATTCCATTTAAATTAAGTAGTGTTTAGAATCAACAGTTAAATCAGAGTAAGCTAATAGAATTCACTGGTATCAAGATTATAATCTAATATGTTGATATTTAGTAAACTGGGCACTAATAGTTCTTGATCTTAATTATGCATGGGCTGTTACAAAATCAAGACAGTAGTTATTATTCTTTGGTTTGTTCATTGTCCTGAAAACTGTGGGTTGAGGCATTCTCAAAGGACTTAGATTTGCAGAGGTGGGTTTGAAAGAGCAGTCTCTCTACATTTTGATAAAATGTTTTCTGGAGGGATTGATGAGGAAGACACCTTGGTATATTTAATTAAGAGAAAGGTTTCTAGCAACTTGGTTTCTATAATTTCAGTTATACAGTGCCAAGATGTCTCTTTTGGCCTTTATTACTTAACTTCTGTGTTTAAAGGTGCCTCTTAATTGTTAGTTAAATTATTTTCCTGTAAAATTCCGTGTTAGAAATTTGGGATCCTGTGATATTTGCTGTGCTTATAGATTACATATTCTTTCAGCTAGAAACTGACCTCTCATCCCCAGTTTTTATGTTTGTTTTTGTGATTTAACTTCTGATATGAATATTTTCTTCCCAAATATAAGGCTTTGGCAGCTCAAGTACATCTGGGTTTAACTTCAGCAATCCTGGCATCACGGCATCAGCTGGTTTGACATTTGGGGTATCCAATCCTGCCTCTGCAGGTTTTGGAACAGGAGGACAACTCCTTCAATTGAAGAAACCTCCAGCTGGAAACAAAAGAGGAAAAAGATAAACATATGGGTTGATGTGTTGAGAAAATGCATAGCAGCATCGTTCCTTCTATGAGTCTATTTTTCTAAAATTGATGCAGTAATTAAATTGCACCCAGGAGATTTATAAAGTTTTGATATTTTCCCCTACTCTGAAATTTGAACTCTCTTGTTTGCTATGCTAAACTGTGTGTGTGTGTGTGTGTGTGTGTGTGTGTGTGTGTGTGTGTTAAAAACCCTCCTCTGTGTGTGTGTGTTAAAAACCCTGCTGTGTATTTTTCATTATTTTGATTCTCAGAAAGAAATGTTCTGATTACATCACCGATTAGTAAAATCTACTATTTAACTGTTAATAGCAATGTTTTTGTTGATAAGGTTTACATTATGTGTGAATTATGCACATTGTTTCTTACACAGATGGTGTGAACTCCAGGACCTATCCTAGAATCAGTTTGTTCCTTGATAAAGGCCTTTTGAACTACATTGCAGGGCATCTTGTGAATATGTATGTAAATATATGAAAAATAATACACACAATTCTGTGTGCATATAAAATATATATTTACAGACCTACAACTTTTGCCTCAGACTGTTCCCCTTGTCTAAGGGTATTCCATTTTTCACTTGAGCTTGAAATCCTCAGTGCTACTTGTACATTTATGAGCTAGAGGTGCCAGGTCACTGCAGTTTTTTGCTTAAAGACTTGCTGAAACAGCTACTGGTGTAAATATTTAACCAACTTAATTTCATTGCCCCTAGTCTTTACCATTTTTGTTTCTGCTTTAACCTTTAGCAGCTACTCCAAATGAGGATTGCTGTGAGACGCGTTGAATAGATTTTAACAACTTTTATTATCCTATATATCCTCATATTGCCTATATGAGATGTTTTTTCATATCTGGGATGGGCCTTGAAGAGCATGTTTGAACTCCAGAATGGTATTCTGGGGACAAAGAGCTATTAAGCCAAATTGATTCTATGCAGGTGAGGGATGCACTGTTATTACAGTGAAAACTTTTCTAGCTATTCCAATACAGAGTTCTTTCTTACAGGGCTATTGATATTGACACCAAATGGAGTGGCTTATCAGCCTCTTAATGTCTTAAGTAAGTGCTTAATTTGGAATAGAGAAACAATATATTTTAAGAAATAAAATTATTCTTTGTAGCAACTATAAACTATCCCCTGTTTCAACAGTGAACAGAGCTCCAGGTGGTAATAATACATAGGCATGTCAGGTTGTATCTGTGTAATATTTGTTTATATTAGTAACATAGAGTGGGTGAAAAAATGAGCCCTTGGAAAGAGAACTGCCTTACCCATGATTTCAGACAGAAACTATTAGGTAGATCTATTTATCTTTCAAGTACTGTTTTCAGATGGGATGTGAACATGGAATTTCATTGAAAATAGTTTAATTTTTTATATAAAAGGTTTTGTACATAATGTGCATCAAGTGAATATTTTCAGAATCATTTTCACCAAGGCACCTTTTTTTCTAAAATAGGTATTGCATATATAAATACACACACTATATATTTTTAGTATAATGTTTGTTGGGTTTGATTATGAAAGTATCAAATCTGTTTTATTTATCTGCATATAGCAACAATCATTGGCATTTTGGAATTGAAATTTTTGCTCCTTGATGCATCAAAATAAGGAAAATACTTTGTTTCTTAGCACTAAAGTTGTTTTTATTTTTGCATACGTCTCCAATACTGCAATCCCCAGATCCACGTTTGGGGAAGGGGTAGGAAAATGTGGATTTTTGTGTTTTGAATTACTGATAAAATATACAACAAACTTTTTTTTTTTTTAAGGACATTGCATTGTGCTGCAAAATCTGAATATATATTTGGTTTTTTCTTCATATATTTCCATTTTAATATGTTGAACCACTGGAAATTTGTAACAGATCAATTTGTGATAGGAGTTTAAATGTGTTATCATTGTCTCTACTGTCTTCACTTTGTCCAGAGCCTATCATTATGTAAACAAATAAAGTATATTGTGTCAGTTGCTTTGAATCTTTATAGGTGTTGGTATTCTTCATACACAATTTTCTAATCATTGCTTTTTTATAACTTTTTAGTGTTTTCATTGGTTTATACAGTTTTTTAGACAAAAGCTCACAAGATACTAAGCTCTCTGTTAGTTGATTTTGTCTTCTCCAAAATACAGAAGCATTTTTAGTTATACACGAGGATATTGAATAAAAAGTAAAAGTCTCCTTCAATGCTTTTAAATCCTTATCTCATTTTCTTCCATAGTCTTCACTCTTAATGGTTTGGTGTATATCCTTCCATACCTTTTAAAAAATGCCTTTTTCAACATAATGTATCCAAATGATTATTTTCCCAGTTGTATTATTATCTCTTAAATCCTTTTTCTTTTATTAACACATGGTTAAAATTCTATGTATTCTGTTACTTCCTTTTTCCAAAACTCTTCTACAGTGTGTTGTTGGCATCCATGTAGATCAGATTTACTTTTTTACGTGTAATCTCATAGGATGGATGTACAATGATTTGTTCCAACTATTACCTGTTGATGCGCAGTTAAATACTCCAGTATTTCAGTTTTTACAGAAGAAACTGCAGTGAGTATCCTTGTATATGACTGTGCTTACGTTTAATGGAAGAGGAATTGCTGATAACGCATCTAAATTACATAAAATGTCAAATTGCCTTCCAAAATGTAAGAATACACATTCCTACAGTGTATATGAAAGTGTATATGTATACAGTGTATATGAAAACATTTCCTAATGTTTTCTGCCATCCTAGATAATACTAGTCCTAATAATAAGTACTAAGGAGATTAAACTTTTTAATATGTCTGTTAGCCATTAGCATATCACTGTAATTGTATTTTAATATCCTTTGCCCATTTGTACACAAGCTTTTAAAGGAGTTTTTCCTTGATGATTTGTAGGAACTCTGTATCAGTGGACATTATAATATTCTTCTTGTGAGCTAGAATGGGCTCTTGGATTCAGATGATTCAGACTCTTGCCCTTGAACATGTATGATCTTAAGACAAATTATTTAACTTCTAAAACTCAGTTTCATTATCTGAAAAGTGGAGATAATGAAGATGGGTGATTGTATTAATATTCTACTTTAAAGCACTTAGATGGGGGTGTAGCATAAACCCCTGACACTTCAAAAGCATTTTTATTCCTAAACCCATGCCTCACTTCTTTGGTCATTGTAACTGGATGCTTTATTCTGGTGCCTCCTAGGGAAGCCACTGTGTGTATGTGTGATGGCTGTGCTAGGATACTTGATCCTCAAGATGAACTGTAGTACCAATTTTGTTGTTTGATGATTTTTTAAAAAATTCTATTTGGGTTTTGATTGGATTCATACAAATAAGATTAATATAATATGGTGAAAATTGACATCTTAATATATACTGCATGGTATAAACTTTCATTAGCGCCTATAAGCTTGTTTTTCCAGTAAGGTTTTATTAGATTCTTGGTAATTATTTTTCCTAAGAGTGTCTCCATTATATTTGAGTATAGATACTTCTGCAGTTGTATAATATTTTTGTGTGTGAAATATTTGAGTTTGAAGATACTTTGCTTCAGTATCCCCTTTCATCTCTTGCCCCAGTTTCTCTGTGAGTACACCTGACTACACTGTACTGTTTGGAGCATACATCACACTTTTATTATTTAGGGGGCACAACCCTAGAGACTTCTATTGTGGAGCCAGTGCCCTGGAAATACATTTATCTCATTCACAAAGCCATTACAGCCTATCAATGTATTTCCCATTCATAATATGCAGTCTGTTCTGAGTGCCACACACAGAATTTTATATACTTGGCCTTATTTAACCTCAGTATTAATCTAGAACACAGAAATCTCCAAGTTAGGGATGAAGGAACTGAGTCATAGGTTAAATGGTTTATTTGAGTTCACATGGCTGTTAAGTCACATAGCTAGGATTTGAACCCAATGCCTGACTCCAAAGCACATTATACTGCTAATGTGGCACTGGAATAGCACACTTGCTTTTCATGCCTAGCCTCTGCAAAAGTACTGAAGGTAAAGTAATTACATAATTTATAGGGGGAAATTATAAGTAAGAGACTATAATGATCAGGGCAAAGTAAGGTAAGTACAAAGTGCTATGGGACTTGCGGGAGAGGAATCTTATCTAGTAAGAGCCAAGCCATCTTTGACCTTCCCCACTTTTCCTAGAAGAATTTCAGAAACAAGTCATCGTAGCATAGAGGGTGATCTGCCCGCTTTGGTAAGTTCGGCAATTTTGGCGATTAGGATCTTAGGAATTATAGGAAGTTTAATAAAAGAGACTTTTCCTAAGACTTAATTTCCTGTAACCCCAAAGAGCATCATGATCACACAAGTGAGAGTAGATTTTTTTCATGCTGATTAATGAACCTTAACCGGCTGGAGAAAGAAGAAAGCCATGAAAACTGAGGCAAGAACTTCAGGTGCTAAAATAGACAGCAGCAAAGTGGAAGGAGTAGGAATTACTGGGAAAATTGGTTGTGGCCCATAAGAATTTTTGTCTTTCCTCTCATTCAGTCTAATGCACTCTCTCCTACCTAATATGCCAATTAAAAATGAAAAACCTACCAGGCTCACCAAGGATGCAATGGTGAAGAGTAGGCTATAGATTTAACTTTTTAAATTTCTTGGTAGCAAGTCAGTCTAGTAAACATTTGTTAACATTTCAGTGTGAGAGTCACTGCTTTAGGAGCCTAGGAGGATGTAAATATGAATAGTACCTCCAGAAGAACTTCCTATTAAATTTCATCATGATACACGTTTTCTTTTAAGTAGCTTTGTAGTATATATTTACACATTCTGCTTAGCTAGTTGCTTTTGATGAATTCTTACTATTTGTTTAGAGCCTTTCTGGGAATTGGGAATTTTAGCAAAGTCGTAGACCCTGAAGTCTTTGAGGCTGCGGTTTACAGGCAACGTTCTTGTTGACAAAGCCTCTAAAGGGACAAGATGAGTTATATTCTGACTCGGTTTCTGCCCCTTCATGGAGACCTAGGAAAGGGATACTACTTTGTTCATTTAACAATGGTACTTAATTGTATTGACATTTCTTTAATTATGAAGGGGTTGAACATTTTTGTGTGAGTATTGACCATCTTTTAATTATTTGGATGTAATCACTATTTAGCGATGTTTGGGAAAACACTTAAAAACTTTAGTCTTGGATCCATGTGACTTTTTAAAATAAATTCTCTATTTCATGTTGCTTCTACATATTCTTAATATTTAAATTACTTGTTTTATGTATTGCATGTTTCAGCTAATATTTTTACCTGTTTTTTTTTGTTTGGGGATTTTAATTTTTTTATGTCAACCAAAATATATTAATCTTTTAAATGACTGGGAAATGAGTGAGAACTCAGTGGGAGAAAAGAAGATAAGACACTTAAAATTTTACCATTTATGAAGTTTCATATATATAATGTCATTAAAACATCATCACTGTCTGAAGATGGCTTTAAAAGTTCAGGTAGGTTACTAAGGTGAAACTAATTGGAGAGTGGCAGAGCAGAAAGGAGATTCACTCATACTATTTTATAGAGTGTTTTAACAAAGTTTTTAAGCATCGCAGATGTGGAAAGAAGCCAACTTGCGCAAAGTTATACAAGTAATAAATAATGTAGCTAAGGAAGAGTAAAGCTCCAATATCTCAGATGGTATTCTAGGTGGTATCTATTTCAGGAAAACTCCTTGAAATAGATAATCAAATGGCTAGCACTTTGAACTCTGTCATTTTGAAATATAATGCAAAATTTGCCTTCTGTATTTTTGATAACCAAGAAGGCAGAAGATAAGTGAAATCACTGTAGCCAATAAATGTTTTTTCTTTTTTTCAAAATTTTTCCTTAGATGTGAGGACTTGATTTAAGGGCACCGATTCTTTGATTTTTCAACATGAGTGACAGTTTCATTTTACTCAGCAAAGTATATAATTGCCTCTTTGAACACTGATCTAAACTTTATCTGAACCTCTAGGCTTCTGTCATGTGTAATGGTTTTTATCTTTTGAAATAATTTACTGAGAAGTTTCTAAAAACCACCACCTTTAGACTCCTGATAGTGTTGAACCTATGTGATCTTAGTTGTGTTTTTTTCTACAGCTGTTACTTGGGTGTTGTGTGAGTTTATACATGTATAATTATCATCACATATATAAATAAAATTGAAAATATAAAATTGAAAGTCATTCTTATATTTGATGAACTAAGTATTTTAGAACATCAATATTTTGCCTCCCCAGTTTGCTTATTGGTTCAGTAAATTTATTTTTCTTGGAAATTGCAGAATTTTTTTCATTTTTCATTAGTTATGCAATCGAGATTTAAATGTTTTTATATTGCTTGTTACAAAAGCAACATCCTTCTTTTCATTTTAAAGTGTCACTTTCTTTAAGCTTTTAGGCAATTATTTTTGGACTCATCTTCACTCCTGTTTGCAGAAATACAAATAGCTTCTGTCTCAGCTTCCCTGTAAGTTTATTTTCTGGCAAATTTCAGAGGCTTATTTAATACAGAAAAATCAATGATCACCTGGTTGAGGCCTAAAAAAATTCTTACAGGAAACCTTTTTTCATTGCTGTTGGTCTATAAATCTGAGTTTACACTTGCCTTTCTTTTACTTCCTCCTCAACCCACTGCATTTGCATAAGGCCTTACAGACTTTCCACTTAACTATTTCGTGATTTGGACCTAGCATGTTGCTTTCTTTAAAAAATTCTCAACTGGTACTCCAAGCCTAATGACATAGGATTGATGAACATTTCCTCAGAATCATGAGACTTTAAAAGAGATGAGTGCTGCTAAAAGTAAAAGGCTCTTTAACATTTTAATTCTATATGCCATATGAGCTGTGGCCTGTTGACCTTTTTTTTTTTTTAAACCAAGACAATATCTAGCTTAATTGTGATTTCAACCCCTCCCAGGAGAGGCAATTTTTTAAAAAAAATTTATACAAGAACCAGGGTCAGGCCAGATGTGCAGGAGAGTGAGAGGATTCACCAGAGACAAGAGTGGGGAACAGAACAGGCCGACTGACCAATATACACTGCTGAGGGGAGCAGTGGGCGAGACAGCAGGTCTGCTCGCCATGTGCGCCACCAGGGAGGCCCTGGCCTGTTATCTTTTAAAGCAGTACCACAAAAACCAGTGCTCCCAGTCACATAACTAACCTGACAATCAGTTGTTCCATTCCCAAACCTGACAAGCCTATTAAGAATATGTTAGCACATCTTAGTTTATTAAGAATGCCTCATATTTTTTAAAACCAGAACATTTATTGCAGAACTGGAATCTGCAGCTCTGACCTCTTGGTTTAGGTGTTGGTCCTTCAGACTCCATGCCTGAATTGGTGGTATACAATTTTTAAGTGTTTGACTAGTCCTATCGGTATTTCATCTTTTAGCCTCAGCACTGTAATTACACTTTCTCTTCTGCTTGGTGGTGGAGCTACCTTTGCCACAGGTTGACTTGTCTATGTGATGAGTTATATTCAAGCTCAAGAAGGAAAGAGTGAAGAGAAGGGCTTTCCTTTAGCAGTGTGATCCAAAAGTTGCTTATTTCACTTCTGTAAATCACATTGGCCAGCACCTAGTCACTTAGCTGCAAATGAGGCTAGGAAATGTCCTCAGCTAGGTCTCTTATTGGTAAAGAAGGAGAAGAATGGTTACTAGGGAGATAACGGGTAGACTGCCACAGGTTCCTGGGCCTCAGCTTGTTTTCCTAAACAGCAGCTAAAACCTCTAGATCATTGACAATTGGTAGCTACCAGTCTGCTAGCTACCCCCTCCTCAAACTGTCACTTCATTTTTGGCTTCTAAGAATTGACCAGTCTTGTAGCTCGGCTATGAGTTTGAAAGTTTTGTTTTTTTTTTAATTGTAGACAACATTTTAAGGTGTCTTACAGTGGGAAGTATATATAGGAAGATCTAATCCAAATGCAGTTTTAAATAGAAGGTCTTCAGTTAATTTTTTACAAATGCATATTCAAAATATCTCATTCCTAATATAGATATAAAATCGCCAAATAACCTCTTGCCCCAGCAATGGTTTTATTCTTTTTTGTCCATGATACACTTTATATTATCCTTCCTCCCAAATAACTATCCACTTAGTTGTAACTTCCTCTGGTTTTGGTGTTGCTCTTTACATTTAGCTCTTTTAACTTTACAGTCAAGATTTCCAGCTAGAAGTCTGCAACTTAATCTGTTTATTCTACAGAATGTTTGCTGGTTTTAAAAAATCAGATTTTGCATCAAATTTCAAACCTGAAAATCTGAACATATCTGGTGACAGGTGGTTAGCCT